AGAAGTGGCCCCAAGGGCTCCTGGGGACTGCACTGAGGAACTGGGTTGGTTTGAATGCCTAGGATCAGGAAGCCGAAAGGTCAGGCCTGGCGTCCAGGAAAGAGGCTGGCAGGTTGTGCAGCCCAGGGAAGCAGAGGGAGGTGAGGGCAGGACCAGGCTCAGAGGGCTACTGGGGACCTTGAGAAGGAACTGGGTCTGTCTGGATGCAAGGAATCAGGAAGCAGTGGTGGCCCCAGGCAGAGAGTCAGCCCTGGGGTCCAGGAAAGAGGCTGGTGGGCCATGTAGCCCAGGGAAGCCGAGGGAGGTGAAGGTGGGACCAGGCCTAGAAGGCTCCTGGGGACCTTAAGAAGGAACTGGGGTGGTCTGGATGCAAAGGATCAGGAAGCAGTGGTAGTTCCCTCGGTGTCAGGGGTGCCAAGACAAGGAATGGGACAGGACCCAGGCTAGGAGGAAAGATGGGCAGGGGAGATGGGAGGGTGAATGAGGCTGGGGGAGTCAAGGTGCCAAGGGAGTGATCGACTTACCCTGGGGAGAGAGGCTGGCAGGTTGTGAAGGCCCAGGGAAGTAGAGAGCAGGTCACTACTTTTTCTCTTTTCCCTATCATGCTCTATTCATTCAGAATTTATGGATTTCTATGAGCCACACACTGTGCTAGGCTAGGAAATTAGAGACAGGTGCAATACCTAACATTGTCATAAACATGATCTCATTTAGTCAGCAACAAGGTTATGAAGGACAAGGCTTCACCAGCCCTCCTGTGACTGGTGCCATGGAACTTAAGTTCAGACCAGGGGTCCCCCCGCTTCTCTGCTCAGGAGCATTTTACTGCCCCCTTGACAAACTTTTACTTAGGGAGCTTCGAGTTGGACGTTCAGAGAGTTTAAATATAAAAGTGCTCAAGCAGTGCAAAACACATAGGAATTTCCCCATCATTACAGTAAGAAAACAGCACAGTGCATCCACAGTCATAGCGACCCAGCCAGTACAGACCTTAAAAAAGCACAAGCAGGGTGAGGGATGTGTCAACCTGTTCCAGTATTCCAGAAGCAGGTGTCTTATCAGTCCCAGCATCCTGGGAACAGACAACCCTTCCCTCAAGTCTCTCCATCAGCAAAGTCTGTAGAAGTCTATTAACTCTTAGTGAGCAGAGTGCTACCACCCTTATTAAGGACAGCTACAGAGGAGGCAGGACTGACAATGTTAACTTTTTTTCCAATACTGTTAAAGAACTTAAATCCATAATGGAAGACTGAGTTACTAAATAAGCCAATATAGTGGTAGTCTAAAATCTGATAGTTACATAAATCAGAGCAAACACCTCACACAGCTCACAAAGGAAGGAGAAGATGGCTAGAAAAACTTCACCTTAAGATAACCAAATATCAACCAAGCCAGGCAGGACGGTGCACACCTGTGACCCAGCACTTGGAAGATGTAGCAGACAGAGGGCAGTAAGTTTCAGACCAGCTTTGTCTACACAGCAAATTTCAGGCTAGCTAGAGCTACATAGTGAGACTCTGTCTTAAAAAGTAAACTAACTAAAACACTTACCTTTTGGTCAAGGTCACTTGTTAGGAACCTGACTGCTACAGGGTCTGAGGATTTCTTTTTGTTTTTTTTGACTTTCCACTTTTGAATGAGCTCTGCTGGCTGGCAAGAGGCAAAAAGCAATCCAAAAATCTGAGCTGCTGTGATCCACACCCAGTTGTGTGGATGTCTCAGGTGAGAGTGCACATGACCTGAGGGAACAAAAACACATTAGAAAACTGACTCTGCGAGGTAAGCGTGTTTTGGAAGAAACACTCCAAAGCCTCAAAGTTCCATTAGCAGGTGCCACATAAGCTAGTTTCAGAATCAAGGGAGGTAAGGTGGTATCAACAGTACATTTCATAAGGTCAGTAACATAACAGTGAAATTGGTGGCTCCAAGTGGCTGCCTGGAAAACGATCATGTACCGAATTCTTTCACTGCCAGGCACAGAAGGTAGATATTTGTGGTTCCCTCATTTAGACATCCTAACAGTTTGTGAAGCACAACTGCCATTCCATCTCACAGATGAGGAAACATGGTCTTGGGAGGCTGGGTGTCATGTAGAGCCAGAACTGGGCCCCAGCTTGACCTCAGCCAGAACTCACAATGCTTCAGCACAGGATACAGAGCCACTCAATGCACCACACATGGCAAGAAAGTTTAAAACACAGAAGGGATTAACCCAACAGATAATTCTTATCTGTTAGTCACACCATAATAAAGCTGGGGAATGGGAGAAAGGAAAAGGATAAAGGGATGGAGAGCTGGGGGGAGAGGATGGGTGTTAAATCAAATTAGTACTGATTGGCAAGGAGACTTGGACAATGTTTGCCTTTTACAAGATTTCAATATAATTAATGTCATTTTTTTCATAAATGAAGTGCATTACTTATGAAGAAATAAATTTTTGTTTTTTTTCCAAAAAACCCCATTTTCACTGTAATAATCTGATCAGTGTTTTGATATTTTCTTTCCTCATGAACTCTTAAAAAAATATTTACTTTCTATATGTTCTTATTCAAATTTCCCAAGTCTATTTTCAGTAATTCTATCATTATTACTATGTCTTTAGATTAAATAAAAAGGAAATACTTACTCCAGATTTTATTCAAAGTCTCAGAGGGCTTGGTAAACTGAATAATATTACATTCCTTGATGAGTTTACTTATCAGTATGAGAAAACCAAACAGCAGGCGATCTGCAGCTTTCTCCTCTGTCTCCTCTATGATCTAAACACAAGGTAAACCCACATCAGTGGAGGTAATGACTTGGAAGTACCAGATGCACACATCTGCTCCTGCATCCACATCTCCACCAGATTTCCCAATTACAGCACTATATCCATTTTAGGACAGAAAACCACTTGCTGCTGGGGGAAAAACCACTTGCTGCTGGGGACTGCCATGGGCACTGCAGGGTTATCAGCAGTATCCCTGGCCTCTTTACTCAGTGGATGTCAGCAGCAAGTCCCATCCTTGGATGTGACAGCCAAAAGTGTTTTTGGACATTGCCAAATGTGCCCTGGGGGCCAGGACTGCTCTAGTTGAAGCTCTCTGATCTTTCTATACCATAGAAGATAACTTACCTTTACCCACACTTATGTTCTGAGGTAGCATCTCACTATGTATCCCAAGCTGGCCTCAAACTCCTAATTCCTCTGCTTTGGCCATCTAAGTGCTGGGATTATAGGTCACCACCAGAACAGGCTGACCCCTCACCTGTTTTGGTGATGCTAGGGGCTTTGAGCATGCTAGGTAAGAACTCTATGACTGAACTCTACACTCAATCCCCTAGGCTCTAACTCAAAATATATTTTTTTAAAATAAACTGTTTTTTTTGTTTGTTTTATTTTATTCATTTATTTTTTTTTTGGTCTTTTTGAGACAGGGTCTCCCTGTAGCCTCAGCTGTCCTGGAACTCACTAGGTAGACCAGGCTGACCTTGAACTCAGAGATCCGCCTGCCTCTGCCTCCCGAGTGCTGGGATTAATGGCGTGTGCCACCATGCCTGGCATAAATTGTTTTTTTTAAAAAATATTTTATTATTTTAATTTTATGTGTATACGTGTGTTGCCTTCATGTAGGTAAGTGCACCCATGTTGTGCAATGCCTGTGGAGGACAGAAGAGGCTGTCGGATCCCCTGGAACTGGAGTTACCGACAGTTGTTAGCTGGGATTCAAACCCGGGTCTTCTGCAAGAAACAGTGAGTGTTCTTAACCTCTGAGCCATCTCTCCAGCCCCCCAAAATATTTTTTAAGATACATTTTTATTTTAAATTATGTGTCCATGTGTGGTATGTGCATGAGTGGAGATGCCTCTGGAAGCAGAGGCATCAGATCTCCCAGGAGCTGGAGTTACAGGTGGTTGTGAGCTGCCTGACATGGTTGCCGGGAATTGAACTTGAATCCTCTGGAAGAGCAGTATGTGCTCTTTAACTGCTGCACCACCTCTCCAGCCCTAGGCCCCATTTAAAAAGTTCCAACGCTATTAAAATTTTACTTTATTACAAAGAATATGTCAAAAAACACAGTACTAGCTATACCAACTCAAGTAAATTGCTTTTATAAACATTTTTAATGTTTTATTACTTATGATTACTTACATCTTTAAAGTTTTCAGGATCAATTTCCTTTTCAATCACAGGAAGAACTGTTTTAAGTCGTCTCTCAAAATCAACTCCTTCACTTTCCACAAACAAGCCACAAATCAGGGCAGCAAGCTGCCTGTTTAATCTCTACCAAAAATAAATCAGAACACAATGTAGGATTAGAAAATGAAAGTACATACCATCAAATCGGAGATGGCAACAAAGACAACACATGCTCTCTTTCCTATTCAGATCTTAGCTTTATATATGTGTAGCTATCTGGGAGTAAGTGTGTGCAGGTACCAGAAACTAGAAGTGGGCCTATGGGAGAGGAAAAATCAGTTAAAAAGAGAGAGGAGGAAGGAGAACAGAGCACGTGGAAATGACAGTGAAATGGGGAACGCTGGGGGTGGAAGGGCTTAAGTCAGATGGGGGCAGGGAGATGGAGGACAGAAGGGTGTGGGGGAGAGTAACCCAAACCAAGCATGTAGGAAACAAAGTTTAAAAAGAGAGGGAGAAAAATAAATGAAATTATAGCTGAACTTAATAAAAGATGGGCTGGTGGTAGTCAGTGAAAAGCATAATGAAAATGACATTACAGAAGAAGAAACAATGCACCAGGCGGGCTGACTAATCACATCATAGCATCTTCCCGTAGTGGGGTGCTAATATTAATGTATGAAGGTAACTGATTTTTCTGGTACTTCCTATTACTTATACCTTCTGCAACTTTAAGAGCATACTATTTTCATAATCACATACCAATAAAGCTATTTGAGACAATCCAGTTCACCTAAAACTAAGACATGTCATTGACTTATGACTAAAAGCAACACTAACCTTCTTTGCTTCAAACCAGGAGGTCACCAAACCAAAGAGCCAATCTTTCTTCTCCTGGCTGACCTTACCAAGTAAGGATTTGATTGCCATGGATGCCATCCTTTTGCACATGGCAGAGTCATCGTTGACCATCATTAGGCAAAGTGGGATGAAGAACATCCCGCAGTTCTCATGGAGCAGTCCCTACAGGAAGGCAGGCACTGGTTAGCACACTCAGAATGGAACTGCTATGGATGCATACATGGAGGGCCCCGGGCTTCCAGGGCTCATGGGAACATGCAGTACCTGAGGGAAGGTGTCAAACAGATAGGCGATCATTTCCAAGGTGGACTCTCTCCCAGTTTCATGTTCATAACTAGAGCAAGAACGTGAAGCAGACTTAATATCCTGTAAATTTGTCAGTAATTATTGTATGCCAGGCATGTAGTCCCAGCACTCAGGAGGCAGAGGTGGATCTCTGTGAGGTTGAGTTCACCCTGGTCTACATAGCAAGTGCTAGGTCAGCTGGGGCTACAGGGAGACTCTGTCTCAAAACGATCAAAAAAGTAAAATAAAAAAAAATAAAGTATTCTATCCATTTCTTAAAAATTGGGAACTGCTCTATTTCCCCAGATTTGACGATTGTATATGTAATTTTGTTTTTTTCTTTTTTGGTCTTTTTGAGACAGGGTCTCCCTGTAACCCCAGTTGTCCTGGAGCTCACTATGTAGGCCAGACTGGCCTCAAACTCACAGAGATCTGCCTGCCTCTGTCTCCTGAGTGCTTGGATTAAAGGTGTGTGCCACCATGCCCGGCTTGAAATTTTTTAGATTTTCAACATTTTCTTAAGTGGATTCTACTGACCATCAATGATCAGACCAGCCTGAGCAAAAAGCAACTTAGGAAGCCTGCCATAGAAGCCAAGTACAATGCTGGATGATCAGTTAAGGAGAAACAACACAGCATTCTCAGAGAAACTATTTACATGTCAGACAGTTACCACATCAAAGGCAAAGGAGAAACCACCTCTTTGCCCAAGTATATTTACTGGTTTAAGCTTACTTCAGTTGAGCCAGTATGAACTCCAGGTTTGGTCTCAATTTCTCACCCAGGGGATAGTCAAGAATGTATTTCAGAAAAACCTGGGAACAAAAACCACAGCTGATTATCTGGATCCTCTCTAGGCAGGAAACCATACCATCCCCATTTCTTACGGTATGAGGAACTGAAACCAGGGCCTTGGGCTTGCCAGACAAATATTACCACTGAGTTATGCTCCTAGCCCTTTCCTGTCTCTCCAGGATTCCTGTTTACTAAGTAAGATGCTTTATGGGACTCTCAGGAAGGGTATAAAAACCTTACTGGGGAAAGTAAGTCAGGCTTTTCAACTGACTCTAGATGAACCTGTCTGCTAAGTCCAGAACTGCGCCTCCTCTTGTCCCTTCCTCACTCATCTAGGTCTGGCCATGGCAGGTCCTGGCCTACCACTGCATGGTTAAGGTTCCAATTTGACGTTTGCCTGTCAAGAGCTTATCTGACAGGTAGTTGTGGCGACTGAGCATAGACTATGGTTCAATTCTGTATTCCCCCCTGAATAATGATAAACAAATATTGATAGTATTAACTAATGCACTTACTAAATACCACCCACGTGCCCAGCACTGTTAACTTGAACTCTTTCTTGGTCAGTTCTTTTTACTTCTTCAGGAAAAGGGGATATGGAAGACAGTGGAGGTGACAGAGTGGTTAGAAAACTTGCTGATGTGATGATACCAAAATTTTGTGCCTTGTTTGATGTCAAAAGGCTCATTTTAATATTTTCTTACATCCATTTATTTAGTGTATGCATGTGTGCATGGACATCAGAGGATAACTTGCAGGAGTTCTTTCTTCCTATCATATGGGTCCCAGAGATCAAACTCAGATTGTCAAGCTTGGTGGCAAGTGCCTTTACTCACTGAGCCATCTAGTCAGCCCAGGCTTCACTTTTAAACCACCAGCATTCAGCCTCCAGATTGCATGGTGAGAAAGAAGCTTTCCAGGGCCTGCTGCTTCCCTAGTAATAAAACAGACCTACCATTCATTTTAAAGGATAGCTATAAATAACGGTCATGTTTGAAAAGTTCTGAGCATAAGCTAACTGTAGTCAAGCAAATTTTTCCCAAAGACTTGCTTGTGCTGGATGTGGGTGGTCAGGCCTACCCACCACTGGGATCTCTGTGAGTTCAAGGACAGCCTGGTCTACATAGTGAGCCTCAGGCCAGCTGGGGCTACAGGGAGACCCTATTTCAAAAAGACCAGCCTCCCCAGCAGCCCTAACTTTCCCTATTCATAACTCCAATTCAGACTTTCCATCTCTTGGTGGTGTCCATAAAACTAGAGATGGACAGATGAATAAGCAAATCCGATCAGGTCACTCACTCCTCTACCTAAGGACAATAGCTACTTACTGATCTTTGAATAAAGCCCTAAAAACCCAACATTTATTTATTTACTTGGGGGGTGGGGTGGTTTGTATATTCCACTGTGTGTGTGTGTGTGGACAATTTGTAGGGTTGTTTCTCTCTTTGTATCATGTGGACTCGGGATCAAATATAAGCCATCAGGTTGAGCAGCAAGCACCTTCACCCTTATTAAGCTACCCTACCAACCCCAAAGCCTTGCATCTTTTATTTTATTTTTGCAGTACCGAGGACTGAACCCAAGGCCTCATGCATGAAGCCCTACATTCTTAACCTGACCACAAGTTTCTGCTTAATCACCTCCACTTTGCTTTCAAACTCAGCTATTACATCGAAGGTTACTTTTCTAGGCATCTACTGCCTCTTCAACTGGAAGTTTGTCTTCCTTCAGATTTTGGCTTACCTATCAATCCTCAGGAAGGCCTTCCTGACCTCCTGCCTTAGATGCCAGAATCTAAGAACACAGCAACAATATGATGTAAAGTAGTCTTCAGAATTCAGTCAGTGGTGACCTGTCACAACTCTTGGGGTGGAGCCCAACACATGATATAGGAATAAGCTCTGTCTACGCACCTGTCTGCACTGGACTCTGGTAGGTTCACTTTGGGCAGAAATTGCCAACTTGGATACTTTCCTCATGATATCATCGATTTCTGGGACCAGTAACTTTCTTGATAAAATAGCCTAAAATACAAAGGGAGAAGATATACTCATGTTTATTATAGATGGACACGAGTAGGCATGATGTTAAAGCGGTCGCAGGCAGTTTTCAAGCATCATGAAAGGGGCTTCAAAGAATATGTACTTTGATTAAAAAGGAAAATTTTATATTATTTTATCAAATGAAGAAAAAAAAAAGGCTGAAGAGATGACTCGGCAATTAAGAGTGCTGGCTGCTTTTGCAGGGACCTCGGTTTGGTCTCCAGCTCCCACATGGTGGCTAAAAACCACCCATAACTCTGTGGACACTGTAAATACATGGTAGACATGTAGGCAAAACACTTGTACATATAAAATGAAAATGAAAACAAATTTAAAAAAACAAACAATAACCTCCAATATGATAGAGCACCTATATATGCAGTGTTCCTTGGGACTGATCATGTATGTATGTATGTATGTATGTATGTATGTATGTATGTATGTATGTGGTGCTGGGGATTGAACCCAGGGGCCCTTCTCATCCTAGGCAAGTGTTTTACCACTGAGTTAATGTTTTTTTAAATTATTTATTTCATAACCACATAATTAGAAGAAGCATTTCATTACAACAGCATTGACATATTCAATAACAATTTCCAGAGCTAAGATGCATCTCCATAAACCCTATAAGACATAAATTAAATGATGTTTAACCTTTAAAAAAGATCTCCATTTCATTACTAAAATATATTTCATACAGAAAAATCCATTTTTAATACAACTAGCACTTAGATGTTTGCACATGCATCGCTAATCTCTATATATCTGATTATTACTAGCCACAGTCGGTTACTTTCTGAGTTCCTTGGCACCTGAGTGTGGATATAAAGTCATCAGGTAGATTTCAATGGTAATGTTTTTCAACCATCTACTAATTAGCATGAAGCAAATTTTTATGCTTCTTCTTCAAATATAACTCATTTTTAAAAATTTATTGATTTTTTTGTGTATTTCATACAGAACATCCCAAACAATCTTATTCATCTATATATGCACACCCCAAGTGACACACTCCCATGCTGCCCCCCACCCCCCTGGAGCCCATATACTCATCATCCCGGTTACTGTCCACTGTGTTGTCGGCGCCCTCAGCCATTCCCCAGTGCTTGTCCATCTGTTGAGCCTAGTCAGCCTATCCACAGTTTCTTGTTTTAGGAAGATCAGCTCTTCCTCATCTAGCAGCAAGCTGTTGCCAATATTCCTTTAGATAAGATTGAGGTCTGCTGTTCATTTTCCCAGTTCTGTGCTGGGTTACGGTCTGCGAGTCTCTTGGGCCACCCTGGCCAACAACTCAAAGGAAGGAATCCTGTCTGGCATTGTTTCTTATTATGTAGCCTTTAGCTATACATGTGGACTCTTAAAGCATTATAGTGATCACTTTAATCTTTGGTTATACTTTCCTTTTGGGTGCTTAAGGCCATACAGTTGGCTCAGATAAACCCATTTATTTTTACTCTTAAGGTCGTTTGAGGATCTGCTCCTCAGAGATCACATGGGCTTAGGAGGAGGCCCTGGCTCCTTTCTTTTACCAGTTCCATCTATGTGAAGATAAGTCAAAGGTCCTGCTCAACCATGGATGGCTTCACTTAGAAGCATGGAAGAAATGTTTCCTCTGTGTTGACCCTCCTCTTTGTAGACTGGACACTGGTTCAAGTCCATCTGGTGGGGTCTTCTTCATGGCCTCCTTGATCAAGAGGACAGGTGACTCATCACAGTTATAGGACATTTTGAGAGATGCTCCCCTGGTACTTAGTTGACCATGGGAGGGAAAGGAGCAAAAACTGTCCTTTAAGTCCCTCTGACCAAATTAGTACAGGCCTCAAAGTATGGCTGTTAAACATCCAAGAATGTTAGTTCCACCAGTATAGTATTTTTAATTACCATGTGCTATGTACATAAAGCTTGGGCAAAGACCAAAGGTCCTCAGATAAACCTTCACTAGACATATATTATGTTCCTTGAGCTAGCTGTATGTATAATTTGTGAGTAGGTTGTTGGACTAATATGGTTCCCTCTGTTTTTTTAAAAACTAGCTAGGCATTATTTATCTCTTGGATTGTTTAACCCTTCTACCATGGTTTCCCCATTTAAAGTGCCCCCACTTTTCCCATTTCTCCCTTAATAATACCCTTCTCTTATGGTTCTACCTCTCTTGAGCTCCTGCTTTCCCTTTATCCCCAAGGTTCCTTGTATTTATTAAAAATAATCCCATTTTTATCCCTATCTCCCTTATTAACACCTCTTTTCTACTGTTCTTCTCTTTCCCATTTTCTTTTCCTTTACCTCCCTGGTTCTTTTTCATTATTCTGGTTCTTATAGTTATGTCTGGATACATTCTCACTTATCCTTGTGAGTGCTAGGATCCACATATGAGGGAGAACATATGTTGTTTATTTTTCTGAGTCTGTGTTACTTCACTTAGTATAAGTTTCTAGTTCCATCCATTTACCTGCAAATTTCATGACTGCATCTTTCTTTACTGCTCAGTAAAACTCCACTGTATAAATGAACCACATTTTCATTATCCACTCATTCCTAAGTTTGGTCTTTTTATGGTGTCACACAATTCCTGCATATTCCATTCTTGTGTTTTCTTAAATTTTTCATAATCTTTGCTTGAGTGGTCTAATTCATTCACTTATTTTCCTTCTGTCTTCCATTTCATTCATCCTATTGGTGAAGCTTTCTCCTGTCATTTCTAATTGGCTTACTGAGTGTTTCACTTCCTTCTTCATTTCAGCCTGAGTATTCTTCAATATTTCTCTTTTCTGAATTCATTCAGCAGTTTATCCCTATCTTCTTTCAGTTCTTTGATTTCTTTTTTTGTGTGTTCTTTAAATTCACTGAATTCTTTTTTTGGGGGGGGGGGTCTTTTTAAGACAAGAGTCTCCCTGTAGCTCCAGCTGTCCTGGAACTCACTATGTAGACCAGGCTGGCCTTGAACTCACAGAGATCTGCCTGCCTCTGCCTCCCGAGCGCTGGGATTAAAGGAGTACGCCACTGTGCCTGGCCCAAAATTCACTGAATTCTTTTATCGTGTTTATGATCTTTTGAATTCTGTGTCCTGTGTTATCTCTATGGGGTTGTCATTGTGCTCCTAGAGACTGTTGGTACTTGGTGGGGATATATTATTTGGGTTTTTCATGTTGTTATTTTTTCTCTGTGACTTTGACATGTGGATTTCTTTTGTAGTTTCTGATTCTTGTGTGAGACCCAAACCTTCCTTTGTTGAGTTTAGGTCTGCTTCTTTTTGCAAACTCTGTGTGCCTTTGTGGTTTTCTTGTGCATGAAAAGCTGGTTGGCCTAGGCTTCAGGTTTTATCTTTTGATTTTATATTCATCTGCTTCTGTTTGTAAACTTTGTGTGTCTTTGTGGTTTACTTGTTGGGCATGAAAAGCTGGCTGGTCTAGGCTTCAGGTTCTCTCTTGTTTTCATATTGGAGTGGCCAAATTGATTTTGCCTTCCTGCTCAGGAGTTCCCACAGAGGTCCAAGTTGGATGAGGATCAGATGCTCTCAGGCTTTCTCCTAAGGACTGGATCCCTCCAAGAAAGCTGCTGGCCCAAGGAAACTGGGGGGTTCGGCCGCCCAGAGATGCAAAGGGAGGTGGGGAAGGGAAGAGGCCCCGAGGGCTCCTGGGGACTAGAGGGAGGAATTGGGTTGGTCTGCAGGCAAGGGATCAGAAAGCAGTGGGACATCTGGGCCAAGAAGTTGGTCCAGAGGTCTGGGGTGCCAAGAAATGTGCCAGTGCCCCTGCTAGGAGGAGAGATGGGGTAGGGGAGCTGGGAGGGTGAATAATGCTGGGGGAATCAAGGCACAGTGCCAAACTTATCCAGGAAAGCTGCTGGCCCCAGCCCACTGAGCTAATTTTAAATGCCCAGCTCCCCTGGAAATGTCACTACAGACTTCACAAATAAGCATCTTCCTAAGTAGATATATTAGCTTGTATCTATCAAAATAATGACCTTTAGATTACTTAATTTCAAAAGTTAAAATAGTATGTTCTGTATTATTCTAGGAATCTGATGCAAGCTCATTAAATGCCAAAACTACATCTGGCAACATCATACCTTTAGAAGCCCGAATGCAGTGGCCTGTCTTGAAGTATCATAAATGTCTTCCTCAGCATAACCCAGGAGAACTTGAAGTTGTTTCTCAGTTATCTGGTAAGACCTGACTTTCTTCACAATGATGGTCACACACTGGAAGTTAAAATAGTGAGGTTAACAGCAGCAAATTCCACAAGTGGGGCTCCAGTGAAATGAGGTCTTAACAACAGAACCCTCCACTTTAACAAAAAGTGTAATCCTTTCACCTCACCTTGAAACAATTCACTACCAGGTGGAAGTTCTGGCCCCGTGCAGCCCCGATTCTCGCATAGTTCTTCAGCAGGAGGAAGAGGTGTTTCGTCAGTTGTCCTGCTTTGCGTTCTGTGGAAGGCAGAGGAAACCTCAGGACCCAAATCAGACATTGCAAAGCACCTGTGATCACCTGAGAAAACAAAATGAAAAACCATCAGTGTAGAAAATGACCAAACCAAGACTGCACAAGTAGCTGATTTGAATAAACAACATGCTGTGTCCAGCCCACTTCAGAAGAACAAGGCACAGAAGAGAAGTTTTCTATTTCTTGCTGGAGAAGAACTGACTCCCTGTCATATAGCAAGTGAAGGGAAATCATAAGCAAAAAGAAAAGGTTCTCACTCACCATGTTCTTAAGAATTTGGATCGGCTGGCCAACTTTGGGGCTTTTTTCTTAAAATTCATTTAGAATAATGTTTCTATTTTCTGTAATGGCATTTCCATGTGGTTCATCTTAACCAGGCTTGTTTTACAAAGCACTCTACTGAGAATCATCATCACCATCACCATTTTTGAAGTCCTGGGAGTAAACCCAGGGCCTTACACATGGTAGGTAAATGTTTTACCACTGATTTTTAGCCCTCTACTGGGTATCATAAATACAAAGACAGCCAGGTATGGTAGCTCATGTCTATAACCCCAGGACTCAGGAGGCTGAGGCAGAGGGATCTTGAGTTTGTGGCCATCTTGGGCGACATGGTGAGATTCTGTCTCAAAAACCAAAACCAAATATAAAAAATACCATTTCCATGTTAAGAAAGAACTGGATTGAAATTAAGCGTAGGAACAAGCACCATTTACTATAGTTAAGTGCTAGGTTCAAGATAAAGAAATTGTGCGGAAACCAAATGATTACATCTCTACTGTTCCCAGGGCCAGCTAGTTCCGCTCTACCTGATACAATCCCCACTTCTCTGACTGCTGTGGCATCCTCACTGGGCTGGATTCTGCAAAAATATAGAGAGCCTGGCAGTCTAAAAGACCTGGGCTTTATCTCAGCTCTGAAAACAATGACTCTGAAGAGTAATCTCAGCATCATCCTCTGTGAAACTAGAAGTGGGCAGACGTGGGAGATGCAGAGGCTCTGCAGTCTGACAGACCAAGGTTCATTGTTTAGGTCATGACTAGCTGCCCATCCTAGCCTACTCATCTAGGAGGAAACCAAACACAAATGAAACCTGCCTCAGGCAAGGAATATAGCTCAGTGATAAAGCTTGCCTAGCATGCGTGAGGCCATAGGTTTACTTAAAAAAAAAAAAAAGGGCAGGCACATGCCTTTAATCCCAGCACTTGGGAGGCAGAGGCAAGTGGATCTCTGTAAGTTCAAGGACAGACTGGTCTACATAGTGAGTTCCAGGCTAGCCAAGGCTGCATAATGAGACCCTGTCTCAAAAACAGAGAAACAGGGCTGGAGAGATGGCTCAGCGGTTAAGAGCACTGGTTGTTCTTGCAGAAGACCCAGTTTTGAATCCAAGCACCCACATGGCAGCTAACAACTGTCCGTTAAGTCCAGTCCCAGGAGATCCTACGGCCTCTTCTGTCCTCTCGGGCACTGCAGGACACGGGTGCACTCACCTACATGCGGGCAATACAAGCACACACACACACACACACACACACAAAAGTACAGAAACAAAACAATAAACAAGACAGTGAAAATGGTAACCATGATAATGATGACAATGGTGACCTTGATGATGATGATGATAACTGACCTAGGGACACCACTCCTCCTCATGAAGGTATTCTCAGAATCAAATGAGATAATGTACATAAAAAAAAAACTCTTAAAGCTGACATGGTAGCACATGCCTGTGATCCCAGCACTTCAGATGCAGAGGCAAGTGTGTCTCTGTGAGTAAGGTCAGCCTGGTTTACACAGTGAATACCAGGCCAGCTAGGGCTGCGTAGTGAGACTCTGTCTCAAAAAAAAAAAAGATATTAAGGGCTTTGGACTGTGTCTGTCTGTGAGAGAGAGGGAGGGAGGGAAGTAGAGAAAAGAAGAGAAGAGGGACCAACTGACCTGGCTTTATGTGCATGCTGAGGATCTAAACTCAGGTTCAGGTCCCATGCTGACAAAATGAGCACTTAACCCACTGAGCTATCTCCCTAGGCCCTAAATGGTGGTTTTTAATGAAGAAGACAGTGGTGGTTTATTCTGTCAGAATATCTTTATAAATTGGTCATCTCAAGAAGTAAGAGCCCAGGAAATAAAATTTCCGGTATTCCAGATGATGCAGCTCTTATGAAGGAATGAACATCTCAACATGAATTGCTAACCAACACTCACCTTCACATCCCTGGAACCCAAGCAGTCTATGAGGATAGACACAAAAGGATCCAACATTTCTAGGACATGCTCACTGGAAGACTTGATCTTGGAAGTCTTTAGACTCAGATGTAGCAGCTGAAAGGTTTGAAAAAGACGTTTTTACATTGCTTTCTCAGAATGTGAGGCAAATAAAATGGTTTTTAGAGATGAACACGAAAGGTCAAAATGCTTCTATTCAAAATAATAAATGAGAAACTGCCTTGAGTCTCAGCAAGTCAAGCAGGTGGGGCTGAGAGGCTAAGGCCATTTACCAAATGGCTATTCAGCACCTGTGTTCAGTGTACAGGGCACAACAAGAACCAGGATGGACACAGTCCCTGTCCTGAGGGTTTGTGGAGAAGTGAGGAAGAGTGGATGGGAGACGACTTAGAGCTGAAGGAAAGCCAGGCCTGCTTGCCATGTGTGTTGGGATGGCACAATAGGAGGTGAGAACCCTGAAGGCCAAAAGGACCAGGAAACGTGAGCCAAAGATAAAATGATCAGATTTTTTGGCCCCAGTGCTGAAAAATGGTCCCCTTCATGCACATGCTAAGCAAGTATTTTTTTAAATCACTAATCTATACCTGTGCCTTACATTGTTTTTTCATTTAATTTTATTTAAAAAATATTTTATTATTTTTATATATATGACTGTACTGCCTGCATGTATGTAAGTGCACCCGTGTCTTGCAATGTCCCTGGAGATCTTCAGAAGAGTGTCCGATCCCTTGGAATGGAGTTACGGATGGTTGTCAATAGCCAATGTGGGTGCTGGGGATCAAACCCAGGTTCTCTCCAAGAGCAGGCAGTGCTCTTAAATGCTGAGCCTACCTCTCCAGCCCTCTCCCCCACTTTATACTGTATGTATACTGTATGTTTAAAAGCTTACCAAAAAACACAAAAGAGTTTAGGAGTTGACAGAAAAATCCTAATAAATATTATGTCAAGAATATAAGTTTGAGACTACTGTATCATCAAAGTATTGGAAGAAATAAATAGTAACTTGATAAATACCCCCTTTGAAAATTTCTGAAATTAATTCTGAAATTCTGCAGAGGATCATTATCAGGAAACAACATTTTAAGGATACTTCTTACCCGAAGTCCAGACTCAATAAAAATGTGCATGTTGGTTTTTTTGCTCACAACAGCTTTTGGTCCACCTCGAACCGGAGTTGGGGGAAGCAGAAGGCAGCTCTGGGGTGGCAAGCGTGGGTCTGGTGCAGGGGCTGCTGGCTTTCTGGTAATCAATCACAATGGAATGAAAACAGGAGTGAGCACTGTCAGCTCTTCTCAGAGAAGGTGCCGCAGTCCTCGTGGGGAGGTGAGTGCAGCACTGAGCGGTGCCCATTTGCCCTGGTCTCCCCTCCCTCCGCTGTGAGCACACTGATGAATGGGCTGCTGAACAGGGTTATGACGACTCAAGCAACAGATTAAGGAATGAATCTAAATGAAGATGGGCAGCAAGAGGATACTGCTTGTGGTTGCTATCTGAAAATGAATGCCAAGGGGCCTCTTAGAACACCGAAGCAAAATTCAAAGAAAGTATATAAGGTATTTTCAAATCTCTTAAGTTCTGTGTATTTATAATCTATCCCTCCAATCATAAATATTTAAAATACCCCTGGTGTCATAGACTGGTATCAAAATAACTGGCTGCTATCACAGTTACTTCATTAAAAGAAAAACAATCTTATGTTGACATGTATCATTTGGAAGGATCTCAGCCTAAACAACACAAAGTAGTGGTGAGGTGAATTCTGCTGTATGGCCTAGGCTGGCCTCAAACACTCCATCCTTCTGCCTCTACCTCCTGGGTACTGGGATTACAGGCATACACCAACATGCTCGGCTTAATTTTTGGTTTCGTTAAAACAAATTACAAAATTAACAACATAAGACACAATAAAGGAATGGCTCATCAGAAAGAAGCACCAGAGTCTCGCTTAGCTTAGGGGCCCCCCAAAACTTACTTTTCTTTCTCTGTTAGCAGTGGTAGATTTTCACTGACCAAGCCATAACTGAGCAATAGAATGGATTCTGCCGTCATTTCTGGATTTACAATTAATCCTGCTATAATTCGGCGTAAGGTTTCATGAACTTTCCGGGCAAGTTTTAAACTTGTGGTATTCTGTAGGATCTAAATCAGACAAACATACAGTGTCACACTGAAAAACACAGACTTCATTTTCATTTGTTGTAATGATTATTTTCTAGTGTGTTATTCTTTATTTTCTAGTGTGTTATTTTTCTAATTTGAAAAGTGTATCTTACTAAAACTTCAGACATAATAACATATAAAGTAAAAGTTACTCATAATTGTGTGAACTGGTTTCCAAAATAGCGTATGTACCTGTGTTAACATTCTACAAGGCTAACTGAAAAAAAATTTCAGTGATTGTGGAGAACTAGAATGCTGCAGGCCCAGAAACAAATGATCTTGCTATCTTTAGCCCCTTTAATAGCCACTTACTTCCCTGTGTTTGAACTAGCATCCTTGAGACTACCAGGCAAAAACCTCTTTTGAATGCACAAAGAGACCCCAAGGTTCCACCAACCCAAAGGCTAAGAATCTCATTAAATAACATCATAGGCTTAGAGTAGAGATTTCCTTATTTAACTGTAATCTATCTCTCTGACGTTTCCATGATAGCATTTTTAAAATGCTTTTACTTATTTTCTTTATTCTGTTATATAAACTACATGAAACTGTTACCATGTAACAAAATACCTGGTATTTTGAGTAACATGAATCTGTGTCCTACATCATGGTCACTCAGAGTAAACCATCTCATCCCCTTTCAGGTGAGGGCTGTGTTTCTGTGTTGATAACCTCAACTTTGGAGACTATGAACAGTTTCTGTGCCTCTGGATTCCTTCTACTCCCTGCTCCACCCTTCCCTGTAGATGAGGCCTCAGGGCAGTGCTGCAGACATCAACCTGCATGAGGGTAACTGGTAGCTCTGCAGACAGACAGACCATTATCAAACACACACACACACACACACACACACACACACACACACACAGAGAGAGAGAGAGAGAGAGAGAGAGAGAGAGAGAGAGAAACACACCTGAAACCATTGAAACCATGTGAATGAAGGCTTGCAATGTCCAAGCTTCAAAGAAAACTCAAGGGAACTTAATTGGGACCTAGGACCATCAACCTCAGCAAAATCCCCAATATTTCATAACTATTATGGTATACAACCAATATTCTTAGACCAGGATCAGATAAAACTATGTACATTCTAGAAACAATTTTATCTACCACCAAAACACCTGGAATTAAGAGTAACTTGTGTCACTAGGCAGTGCTTCTTGCTCTAGTGTTAGTGCACACTAATAAGTTAATTGATGACATTATTGAATGGCTACCCTTACAAAGGGCACAGAAACAACAGGAAAATGGGAAAATTAGAGTCCCTGTTCCCAAAGGGGCAAGAAGAGCTTTAGATCGGAGAGATCTACAACTAAATCCTAAGTTTTTTCTTTTCTCTTTTTTTAAAAAATATTTTATTTTATTAATTTTTTAAGTACACTCATGTTGTGCAGTGCCCATGGAGGTTAGAAGAGGCTGTCGGATCCCCTGGGACTGGAGTTACGGACAGTTGTTAGCTACCATGTGGGTGCTGGGATTCGAACCCAGATCTTCTGCAAGAACAACCAGTGTTCTTAACTGAAAAATATTTTATTGCCTGCATGTATATAAGTGCATCAATGCCTGTGGAGGTCAGAAGAGGATGTCAGATCCCCTGGAACTGGAGTTATGAACACTTGTTAGTTGCCATGTGGGTGTTGGGAATAGAACCCGGGTCCTCTGCAAGAGCAGCCAGTGCTCTTCACTGCTGAGCCATCTCTCCAGCCTCCTTTTTTCTAATCCATGTCCCTTTCTACTCTCTTGACCCTGTGTGTTCTATCCATAAAATAGAAACAGCAGTGATCTCACTGGATTGTGCAGATTACAACAGAGACTGTAAGTGTGTTTAGACAGTTAACGTCAGCTTTCTTCCTCTTGGCAGCTTGGGAGAAGTCTGATGCCAAAGTCTGTTTTCGCTGCTGATACAGCACAGCTCAGCCTCACCCACACTCCAACTCTTGCTGCCTTCTTTCCTTTAACATCTTTTGCATCAAAAACCAGGGCTCCAAGATCACAGCCAAGTCAAGGCCACCAACCAGCAACCAGATGGCACTTGTCAGTTCCCTCAACTCTAAAGGCAATCATGGGTGACCAAGGACAGTGTTTTCTCTGACAGACTCTTTCAGAAACTCAATGATATTGTAATGTTGGGAACTATTGAATTTGATCAAGTGCTTACCTCTTTTAATGGAAGAATAAGTTTTGTAACCTGATCTTTTCCTACAAACTTGCCGAGGATTTCATAGGAATCGTAACTCTTGCTTCTTCGTGCCTCCATGACTTTGGAGAGAATCTGCTTCACTTCCTTCTCTTCAGCAACGGGACCAAACAATTCATGGTTAAAAATCTTTGAAAGAAGAACAAATAAATGGCAGTGATGGGCGTGCAGCAAGGCATGTCAAGATAGGTGGTCTGAGGACTCAGCCAATGGCCTCAGAGCAACCAGGCTGGACTGAAATGAGGTGGCAGGAATTTCTATTAGTGCTTACTCATTTTCAACGCAGTTCAGGAACCAGTTCAGAAACACCAACAAATGAAACAGAGGAACATGCTAAGATTGTTACTAAAGGAAACTAAATACTTCACAGATCTAACTATACAGCAGGTCCCCTTTTGTACTGCCAAATTAATGTCCTTTCAAGAAATTATATCTGTAATTTATTGAAATGAATGTATTTAAATTGAGACAAAATTAACAAAAAGTTATATGTCAAGTCTACTAATTATTCCTCCAAAGTTATTACATTATCCAATTTTAAAAGTTAAGTGTTCATTCTTCACTATTACAAAGCTCTGGCTGAACATACCTTGAGACAAACCCAGGCTACATCTCAAATTATTTCTTTAAAATGGATTCTTGGAGATAACAGAAAGTTATTGCTCATTTCAGAAGCTACTGACATACAATACCAACTTTCTTTCCAAAAAGAATGATTAAAAGTATGTATGAGACACCAGCAATAACAGAAAGCTCATTGCAATGATGCCTTAATGCTTCCAACTTCTGCTTACCTAAGACATAAGGACAGTAAATTCCTTTGTGTTTGTGTGCTGGGATTAAACCTAGGACCCTCCCTCTAGAAAGCACCTACTACCACAGAGTTAAACCTTAAATCCTACTTTCATTTTTAAAGGCTGTTTTTATTTCTTATTTTGTGAACTTTTAAAATGTTCACCGTCCACTTAAGAAACCGGAATTCCATTCTGTAAATCTTACCTCGATCATTATATCTAGACAAGAGTCCAAACCCCCAACCTGCAGCTTGCTGGTGAGGCCTTGCAGCAGCATGTGAACAGTGAAAGTGAGCACGTGGACCTGAAAGGAAATGCACAGTCAGAAAGCAAACAGCTAGGAGTCCCACACCTGAAGGATGCAGCTGGAGGAGTCCTGCCAAGAACACTCAGAGCAGCTATGACAAGTCACCACCTAAGATCCTCAAACCAGGCTGGGTGTGGTGACGCACACCTTTAATATTACCTAGCACTTGGGAGGCAGAGGCAGGTGGATCTCTGTGAGTTCAAGGCCAGCCTGGTCTACATAGTGAGTTCCAGACCAGCTGGGGCTGCATGCAGGGAGACCCTGTCTCAAAAAAAAGACAAAAAGAAAAAATATCCTTTAACTAAGGATCGCTTTGCACAAAATATGTTCAGAAACGCAATGGCGTGCTTAGGTACTACAATTACAGCTAAACTAAGTCAGTGATTTGTCACAGAAAGGCACAGAGCCATTTATTTAGTTGAACTTCTAAAACAATTCTACTAGTATAATTCAATTTTCCATTCCCCAGCCTACCTTTGAATTTTCTGACCTATAGTCAGAGGTGCTTCCACACCTTTCAATTCTAGCACACGAGCTGCTGTCGCTAGCCTACCATAAAAACCAATGATGAATGCAAGAAAAGTTAGTACATAAAGTGCTGAGAAAACATCCTCTTGTCCTCAGTAATAACCAAGCAAATCTCTACCAGTGCTTCACGGTGAAACAGGCACTGTAATGCTAGTTCACATGCAATAAAACATTTATGCCTTACCCCTCCTACCTCTGGTGGAGGTGCTGAATTACCAGTACTTGTACATCTAGAAGCTGAGAACGGAGAGGACAATCAACTTGTCCAAGGTTACATGGGTAGGAAGAAGTAAAGTAGGGATCTGAAACCTGAAGGACTAGCGCCAGAGACCCAGCTTTGCACCACTATACCTGCCTCTCAAGCTTCCTGAATTCCATATGCTGCTATTACTGCTCTAAGATTACCACAGCAAACAACAGATTGCAGTCATAGGTCAAGGACTCAGCTGAGGGGTCCAAACACACATGGGCTTTAAAGGCACAGTTTTGTTTTTTCTTTTAAAGATTTATTTTTGCTGGGCGTGGTGGCTCATGCCTTTAATCCCAGCACTTGGGCAACAGAGGCAGGCGGATCTCTGTGAGTTCAAGGCCAACCTGGTCTACATAGCGAGTTCCAGGACAGCTGGGGCTACAGGGAGACCTTGTTTCAAAAAGACCAAAAAAAAAAAAAAAAAAAAAAAAAAAGAAAAAAGATTTATTTTTATTTATGTGTATTTGTGAGTATATGCCTCCTGTGTGTGGGTGCCCACAGAAGTCAGAAGAGGGTGTCAGATCCTCAGGAGCTGAAGTTATAGGCAGCTGTGAGCCACCCAATGTAGGTGCTGGGAACTGAACTTGGGTCCTCAGGAAGAGTAGCAAGTGCTCCCCAGTTTCTTCTACACCTTACTTGTGACTTTTAAATACTTTCTAACCCACCAAAATGTTTTCTGTAAGCTGAACATAATTTTAAAAACCTTATTTTTGGGTTGTCTCCTGTAGCCCCAGCTGGCCTGGAACTCACTATGTAGACCAGGTTGGTCGAAATCTCATGAATGCTGGGATTAAAGGCTTATTTTTGAGAGATGATGAGGAACACTTGAAGAATACAATTTTGACAGTGTCTACATGATCACTAAGAAATCGCAAATGACCTATTCTTTCAACCATATTTTAGTAATTTTAACAAATAACAGCAATAGATTTAGAGAACAGGTAGTTTGAGAAAAAGGGCTACACAAGACAGCAGCTCAGGAGCTCCCGAAAACTGTGTGGCCAACCCCTCAAGGAAGGGCCAGGGTGCTCCCCTTTGTACACCAGTGCCCAACACGGCCCTCCCACGCGTTCCATGAATGGATGCCAGTTGAGAGACAGAACAAACTGAAAGCTGACAGGAGCTCCATTTCAGTTTGTCTGCGGGAGCCCACATTACCGCGTCTCCCCACTGCGCATAGCTAAAGCCTGGACAGGACTCACAGAGCGGCTATCGGGAGAGAACCCAGAACCCAGACCAGCAAAGTCAATGTTCACCAGTCTTCTTTCAGCATCTCCTAGGCAACACAGCAGTGGGCAGACAGAGAAAATGCTAGAAAGCCCCTATGCTGGTGAGAAGAGCAGGAAAGGGGACTTGTCAGGACAGAGCAGTCTATCAGTTTTCATTTTTCCTTCCTCCTGTACGCCAACCCCAAGCAGTGCTGAGGGTGTAGTGATAGTGACCTGGCAACGGCAACATAACTGTGGGATGGCAGTTCTGAGTGTGGGCCAACCCAGTTACTTTTCCTTTCTTTGTCCTGTACCGTCATCTCCTGGCACGGCATGGTGGGGGGAGTGCAAGACAAAGCCTGGGAAGTAAAGCTCCAGGTTCACAGCTGGAGGACTGAAATAAACGGAACACAGATGCCAGAAAAGAAACAGAAGATGGAACTTTTAGAACTGAATACCCAACTCTTTAAACAGGAAGCTTGGTGAATGGGCCAACGGCATGATGGCGACAAGACAGGATGACAATAGACTCAGAAGATCCAATCTAAATGACCCAGAGAAGGAGGAGGTCAGGAAAACGAACAGCCTGAGGGATCGGCAAGATATAAACAAAAGAGCTAATATTTATTTCACTGAGAGGCCCAGGAGGAGAAAACGTGGGAATTGCAGGTTTGGAAGGATTTACAGAAATACTGGCCGGAATGTCAAATTTGGTGAAGAGGCACAACAAACCCCAAACAAGGTAAACTCAAAGAAAATCACTCAGACACACAAGTATGAACTGCTGAAAAACAGGGAAGAAAAGGTCTTTAAAACAATGCACTACTTGGAAAGGTACAAACTGATGGGCTTACCACACAAGCAGTATGATAAAACCGAAGACCTGTCCATGGAGAGCGCCACATTCAGCACTGACATCTCTCAGAGGAGGGAAGGTGAAAGACACTTTTAGATGAAGAAACTGAGAACCCACTGCTGTGCCCGGCTCTACAAGACTGCTAAAGGAGTTCAGATCGAAGGAGTATTACCAGACAAACATGGAAGTTCAGAGACAGAGGAAGAGCAGATGAAATGGTAAATATCTGGATGGAGCGAGAGACTCCTTTGAGTTTCTTCATCCATTCATACATATATATCTGACAATTAAAAACAAAGTTGTAATACTGCCTGGTGAAGTTCTTAATACTTATAAGATGAACAGCAGGGGTTTCTACATTTCACTTGAAGTGATAAGACACTGATTCTCAAAACACTGTTAAAAAGGATAAGTGTGAATATGTTCATCTTGAGAGTAAGTGAACAAAAAAGGCCAAAAAAGAGACAGTCAAATGAATATGGGTATTTTGGTATTAGAACAGGTTCCTGACACATCAGTGAATTTAAGACACACGAGGTAAAGCCAGCTACCAGGACTCGGGTGAGCATTTGAAGAAGCTGCAATGCTTCCCAGCTTAAATCACTTGAGGCTCTTTTGAAATACAGGTTCTGTGGGTGCGGTGCAGGATTCTAATTCCTGTCTAACAGTTCCGAGATGCTGCTTGTCCATGCTCACACACATTAGACCTCCATGGAACTGCCAGAACCTTTTATATTCTACCTGGTGTCCTTACTATTTTTTATTTATTTTTTGTCTTTTTGAGACAGGGTCTTCCTGTAGCCCCAGCTGTCCTGGAACTCACTATGGCAAACAGGCTGGCCTTGAACTCACAGAGATCCGCCTGCCCCTGCCTCTGCCTCCCAGGTGCTGGGATTAAAGGCATGTGCCACCACGCCCGGCTGTCCTTACTATTTTTATATCCTATGCCACATGCTTAAAACCTTAAACACATACATCTTTTTTCATTCTGTTGGCAATACCTTCAAAAATTAATAAGAATTTTATTAAGAACTTCGGGGCTAGAAAGATCTGGAGAACGTGAAATTTAATATCCAATAATCTGAAAAAAAAAAAAAAGGCCATGTAACTCAGGCCAATGAGGAACCATACAGTAGGACATACAGGAACTTTTAAACCAATGAACTTTTTTCCCTTTATGTGTGTGTTTTGTCTCCATGTATATAAAGTGTACCTGTGCATTCAAAGCCCACAAAGGCCAGAAGAGGGCATCAGATCCCCAGGAACTGGAGTTACGGATGGTTGGTAGCCACCTTGTGGGTGCTGGGAACTGAACCCAGGTCCTCTGCAAGAGCAGTGAGTGTTACTAACTCCTGAGTCATCTCTGCAGCTCCCTAATGGACTTTTAAAATACTGATTAAGAACTTGCTTATTTGAGACAGGCCTTCATTGGTCTAGACTGGCCTTGAACTCCGATCTTCTTTGTCTTCATCTTCCAATACTGGGATTATAGGCATGAGCTCCCATGCCTGGCTGTGATTAGAGGCTTGAATGTTGTTGCCCAATACCTCAGCCAACCAGTTTTACAAAAGACAGGTACAAACTACCATAACCTGCAGTGTTTAAGCTGCAAATATACTGAAGTCAAAGTGACTTGAATATAAAGCACACGATGTGGTTACCTGATACCCGCGGACAAGGGTGGTCTGTAGCTCTTTGAGGACATACTGCAGGAAGTGCACACCCAGGTCTTCTATTATTTTGGAGAGTGTGCTGCGTGCAATGTCTCTGATTTCCTGTGCTCTGTTCTTGAGGAGGACACAGACCTTCAGCAAAACACTAGAGAATGCAAAGTTGAAACACGACTAAGTAAACAGAAATAAATACACTGGTCCTGTTGTTTCTGACTCTTCACAACCCCAATTTCTGAGTTAGGACTCAGAAGCACAATGAATCACGATAGTACGCCTCCTCTTCCTAACAAAGAAGCAATGTTGCTGTTTCTCCCAACTTGTCTCATCTGCCGTACAACATACCTGGGCAAATTTGCCTCCATGACCTCTTGTGGCAGGGACCGCATCAGTTTAACCATGGCAAAAGCCAGGGGAACTCGGACTACTTCCTCATCATTCACGACTTTGGACTTGACCAGCTTATGCTCTTCTTCCCTTTTAGTCTACAAGAAAAGTTCAGGTTAAACTGGAACAAAAATAAGGTCCCCAAGAACCTGCCAACACTATACCACTTTGCATTGGATTTCCTCCTTCTCCCCCACCTCACCCCTCGCCAGTGATGGACAGGGAGTGAACCCCAGGTCTTAGGCCAGGAAGTGAAACCCAGGTCTTAGTGTTGGCTATACTGAGCTTTCTTCCCTTTGGTCACCACTAACCTTGCATTTGAAAGACAAGATCTTTTTCCATTTTAAGCTTATTTTTTCTAGTTTACTTTTTTGTAGTGTGTGTGTGCGCGCGCGCACATGCATGTGGAGGTCAAAGGAGGACGTCACTCTCTTTAGGACAAGAGTCTTACACTGACTTAGATCTAGGATAACAGCCAGCAAGACCCAGTGATTTCCTGTCTATGCCTGGACACCCTTCTCCCAGTACTGGGGTTATGCACAGCTATGTGTAGGGACTTGAACACAGGTCCACATGCTTGTACAGCAAACACTCTTACCCCCCGAGTCATCTACCCAACCCCAGCTTACTCTTTAAAAAATAAAGTGTGCAGTTTGAGACTAACCCTTCAAAAATTACAAAAATAATAGGAATTAAGGATCTATGGTAAGATGTGGGGATAAGGCAACAGATACCTGTAATCCCAGCACTTAGAAGACTGAGGCAGGAGGATCACAAGTTTGAGACCAATCTACTTTTCAAAGTAGCAGATGAAAAAAAAAATGAAGCCAAAGTTTCATCGACAAGTTACAAATGCTGTTTAATATTTATCTCTTTCTCTATCTCTATGACACAAGAAATATGTGCTGGTTGGAACTTTCAAGTGTTTGAGTACATGGTTGGTAATAAGAACTCCACTGCCTCAACTAAAGTTTCATTTGACAAATACACAAAATGTTCAAGTCAATATTTTATACCAGTGTTTAGTACACTTTTTTGTAAAAGAACAGATAGTATTTTTGGCTCTCTGTTAAAGCTGGTTAACTTTGTTGCTGTAATACGAAAGAATGGCTGTGTGTTTTAATAAAACTTTCCTTATAAAAATAGGTTGTATGGCACCTAGCTACAACTCATGGGTCACAGTTTATAGACCCATGTTTTACACCGAGGAAGAAAGGCTCTGGGTATATGAAGATGCGTCATTTGTTAACTGTTACCCCTGCTGACTAGGGAAGATGGAGGTACCTGACCACACGCCTGGCCAAAATGACATCTGAACAGTACAGAAAACAGCCAAGAAGTGGAAAAGGGAAACAAATGTGAATCACTCATGAGACTTCTTTCTTTGAAAAGTTGTTATCTCCCTTGGAGACGGAGAAAGCACCTGCCTGCAACATCAGAATCAGACTGAAGGAGCCCTGCCGCCTGGCTGTAGCAAAGATGCTTCGGGTTAATAGGTGGAGGGAAGCAAACCATGAAAAGTTGAGATGAAACGCACAAGTTAAAGCCAATCAGTAACCCTTAGGGGTCCCATGGCAACTGCCCCACCAACTGGACTCAAGCTCACACAGACCAGTGGGGCCCCAGTCCTTACCGTGGATGCAAGGCACTTATGCAGTCTGGGGAGGATATCTCCAGTTATGGCCCCTTGGATGGTTTTAGATGTTTTCTCCAATTCCTCTTTATTCCGAGGAAGGAAGGACACAGACCTTGAGATGGATTCTTGTTCCTTAGTTGCTATCCCATCAGAATCAGGGACTCCCAGTGCCTCCTTGTTGTCAGACAAACTCTCACATGTATTTTCCTTCTCTTCCTCATCCATGTGCTCTAATTCCATGGCTTCATGCTCCAATAACTCAGCTATTTCAATTGTGTCTGTATTTAGCAAACAAAAGTCACCTTAGATGAAATACGATGAAAAGGCTAGGTGTCGGCAGTAGTTTGTTTCTATAATCTTAAACTGTAACCTAGCACTCAGGAGGCTGAAGCAGGATTACAAAGTCTGGGGCTAGCCTGGGCTACATAGCCAGACCCTGTCTCAGAATAAGAGAAGGAAGAGGAAGAGGAGGAGGAAATGACCCAGCTGTGTAGTTGTGATAAGTAGTCTTTTTCTATCAACATCTATATCCAACCGAAAATACTGATACCAGTTACAGGCAGGGAGGGTAACAGCTGAGGACACCGCAGGGAGTGAGAGGACTGTGGGCTTTCCTGTCTCACAGTGGAGGTCTATTGAGGGACAGAGACAAGAAAACTGGCAATTACAAAAAATGTAGACTGGCCAGGACAGGATCACTTGTGAATACACTAGGGGAAATGGATTGGAAGTAGGACTCTTAGCCAACAGAAAGCTTCCTAAGCAAGGAAGTGAGAACGCTGAAAGAAAACCTTACATTTATTTATAGCACGAGAAACATGAGCTGACAGCTCTCATATAGAAATTTCCCTTCTAGGATTCAGCTTATTAAAGAGAATTAGTACAGTATTGTAGGTAAGTCTAGGCTTGACCCTATAAATAAATTATACTACCTCAGGGAATTACCTTAACACCGGTGTGCTTTGGATTCTTCACCAGTAAAAGGGAAGTAGCCACCTACCTTGCCAAGTAGTGTGAAGGTTAAATGAAATGAAATCCTATAATTCCCTAAAACATTGTCTGACACCCCACCAACTATAAAAAAAGTGACCTTTGGCTATGAAACTTTGTTAACTTATGCTGATGACACCTTGCCAAGTAGTGTGAAGGTTAAATGAAATGAAATCTTATAATTCCCTAAAACATTGTCTGACACCCCACCAAGTATAAAAAAAGTGACCTTTGGCTATGAAACTTTGTTAACTTATGCTGATGAACCTCAGTTTCACATATCAAAAATACAGAGTAACTAATACTAAGGTTCTTGAAAGGTCCTTACGAGGACAAATGCAATACTGTCTATCAAAACCCCGTCACACAGCAGGTTCTCAATAAAGGTTTCCAGCTTTACTGTCCTCCTTCTCACTGAATTTTTCTTCAAGAAGACTACTACTTTGATTTGCCATTTCAATTTTAATCAGTTTTAACTGATATATAGAATTAAGATACAGAAAATGAAAACTCTTGGCTGAACACCATAAGAACTATAATTGGAGGACCCTCCTCATCTCCTTCCTGGACATCAACGCTCCACCTTGGGTTAGTCCACTGCTGATTCAGATTAATTTGGGAAAGTGGTAGAAACTAGTAACTCAGGGTGCATGGCTGCATCGTAATTGTGATGGGTATTGTTTCATGTTGCTCTTTCAATATTAGATCTGAATGGTACAGGAGAGGTTAACTATGGAGGAAATGGAATGGAGAAGACCTGTTCTGCAGTGTGGGGGTCAGATGGTAGTAAGCTATGACTAGTTCTGAGTTGGAGGATTACTGTTTTGTTTGGGCCCAGGAAACCAGGGCTAGTCCTCATAGATAGAGTGTCATACATTTAAGGAGATGGCCTTCTAAGGAAATGACCAACACTCAGATTTTTCATTAATATAATTTTAGATGTGTCCTCCATAAAGTTAAATGAGATTTTTAAGAATAAAACATTCGTTTCAGTTTCTTCTTGACTCATTAACTAGTCTTTAATACAAAGAGCAGAAGAAGTAGTAAGCTGTATTTTGCCATCTTTAATTCATCACCATAAATTATCCAGGAATAAAATTAGAATCTAGTTTTAAAAAGTTTTAAGAACTTACTTTCTTCATTCTTAATGTTTCCCATTTTTTCTTCAAGAGTTTTGTAGTCAAAGTGGAATGCTTCCAGTACTATAACTAGTAAACTATTAAAAAAAGACACACAGAAATGTTCATTTGATTAGCAATACCATCTACAAAAAGGAAAGGAAGCTGGAGGATATAATCAATAAAATTGTTTTTATCAGTATTTTTGATTCTAACAAGCATCGGCCTAGCCCTTTAATACAATGTAAAAGTAAACTGAGATTTCAGAAAGACCAATTCAGCAAGCAAAGTTTTTATTTCATAAAAAAAAAAAAAAAATGTAGCTATACCTGACACCCAACTTCTGATTGATCTGGCCAGCCTGTAAGACATGAATGAAATGTTTCAAGTAATAGAGATACGCTGGCCAGGAGAGATGTCTGCAAACAGCTCCGATAACCTCTGTGGCAGCAATGGTTATGTTTTCATGCTGTAAAATAAACCAAGAGCATCAATGTATAACAAATAATTCTAACAAAACACAAGGTTAATTTGGTATAACAGAAGCCATAGGCCACAGGTCATTAGTAATTAACAAAGGAAAGACCATCTGTATTATACTCCTTTTTCTGCCCTAATCCCAGAAAAAAAGATGTGACTAATTTAAAGAATAATATACTATGAGCTCATTACTACACAGATCTTCCAGACTGGCTCAGCACTACAGGCAGGGAATGGAAAAGAAAGTTGACCAATGCAATGTCAAAAACTACATATTACAGTGCTCAGCACTCAAAAGTCCCCAGAGACATCTTGTTTAGGTCATGATGGAAAACAAGGAGTGAGCTTATCTTCACACCTTAAACTAGAAATGAGGGCAAAAATGTATGAACCTAAATTTTCAGACTCAAGATGTTAGACAGCTAATGATCCCTAAGAGGAAGGACACGGGAAATAAGGGCTACAATGACCTGAATTTATTATGCACAGAACTGTGAGGTCCCAGTGTAGGAGAAACTCAAACAGAGCCCTGTGGCCTCCCTGGGTTAAAGTGATGGAAAGAGGCTAAGCACAGCAGCTGGAGTCCGCAGGGCGGGGTGCCAGGGAAAAGAAAGCTACAGGACGGAAAGCTCTTCAAGTTCATGGGGAGAGTTGAGTAAGGGAAGACAGTCATCAAAGCCCAGAGAAGGATGAGAATAGACGCCTCTATCAGCCAGAGTGAAAAATTCAGTGTGGCAAATGTACCTGAACATACAAGAAGAAAAGAAGAGAATCAGGAATTATGTATGTGTAAGCAAATATGAAAGACCTTCCTTTACGTGACCACTTTAGAAGATAATTGTTTATAAAGCAGTAATAATATTTTACTGTGTTTAAAGCTAATACAGAGGTTAAAAGTCTATGACAAAAATACTTCTATAATAGAGATAAATATAATCATGAACGCCAAGTTAACCCAATAGAAGGAATAAAAGGAAAAAGAGAAAAATAATGTCCAACAGAAAAGAAGTCACAAGATTATAGATCTCAACGCAAACTTATATTAAATGTTAGTCTAAAAAAGTTGCAAGGGAGAAATTGGACACACAGTAGGATCCAGAGAAATGCAATCTGTAAGAAACCAACTTTATGTGTACAGTCACAAGCAAGTTCAAAAATGAACAGTTAGAATACACATGCTAAAATTCAAGCACACCATGGCATAATACTTTTCCACCTACACTTTGTATCTCAACACTCCTGAACTCCTGAGTTGGTTGTGCTTACTGGCTTTTTAAAGTGGACTTTAAAAGAGCAAACTTTTAAGGCTGGGTATGGTGCGTGTCTGTAATCCTGGCTATGAGGGAAGGTGAAGGACTGTGAGTTCAACACCAGCCTGGGCAACACAATGAACCATCCTACCTCCTCCTCGAGAAAACAAAAAGGGAGGGAGAGAGGGAGGAAGAAAGGAAGGAAGGAAAGAAGGTGGGAGCAATCAAGACTTGGAGTCCGAAGCAGTAGAATCCCTGGGAGTTCAAGATCAGCCTGGACTACACGGTGAGCACAGACCAGCACAGCGAGACCCAGTCTACTAACCAACCAACTAACCAAAGAACATCTATAATCCCAGTAACCGAAGCGTAGAGGCAAGACGAATGGTAGTAGTTCAAAGCCAGACTGGGCTACAGAGTCAGAGTATCTCAAAACCTAAAATCATTTTAGCGATATGTGAATTTCTAGGAAGGGGAATATTTTCTTGTGGTTGGCCTGTGTGTGCTAGTCAAAGTGAAAATACAAATAAAAGCCACAATTTACATAATATTTTCTACCTGTGGTTCTAAGGGTATTCGGCTGACTCTAACTGAATTATGATGATGAAATTTAATAAAGATACCAATAGCACAAGCTTTCTAGACCAAATGTCCTACCTTGAGCATTTTCTCATCAAAAATTGGAGTCATGGCATAAGGCATGATGTAATTCTGCAGGGATTTAGAAGAGAGCACGACTTGCCCTTCCAGAAGCTGCTTGGCCAGTTTCTTCAAGGCTCTTGCTCGTCTGTGGATCTATGAATTAGATAAAATAGGCACGGTTACTGAGTATTCTCTCCAAAACCACTTCCAGCTGTGTCAGCCACAAGTTCTTTTTCCTGAAAAGATTAAAGGTGTGAAACATTGGCCATGTGCTGCATAAGCAAACACCCATACCCCAATTCCCTTAACAATGAACTCCAAATATTTTATAGGAAAAGCCAGCCAAAGGTGACTAATTTTTTAAAAGATTTTATTTTTAATTATGATCATGTGTTTGCATATGTATATGAATATGTCTGAGTGTAGGTATGTGTGTATGTGAGTGGAAGGCCGGAAAAGGGTGTTGGAGCGCCCTGGAGCTGGAGTTCCAGGTGGCTGTGAGCTGCCTGATGTGGGTGCTAGGAACTGAACTCATGACAAAGCAGTAGTGCTCTTAATAACTGAGCTGTCTCTCCAGCTCCAGGTGACTCTTCATTATGTGTTGTGACACCACCAAGAAAATAAGATGTCGGAAAATGATTGTCTTATGTGCAAATCTGCCAGATGACCAGGGAGACCAAGGGATGGAAACATGAAACCTTTTGGGGGATGTGAACCTGCAGGAGAGGCAGAACTTTTTACAGTGCTTATTTTGAAGGCAGGGAAAGCAGAACTCTTCTACCTGAATGTGCTTCATGTTCTCAAAGAAGTCCATTTCTGGGTCATGAGAATGAGTAAGCTGCACCAAATCCTTAAATTCCAGTTGACTTGGAAATGTTTGAATTAAACAGGAAAGTATTGTGGTATAATCATGCTGAATACTCTGCAAATATCAAGTTGAGAAAAAAACAGTTGAATTTTAAAAGGATCTTCTTTTTAGATAATTAAAAGCCCTTAATATGCTTAAGTAAATCATTTTTACTGTAAAAAAAACCAAAAACCAAAAACCAAAACTACTATATAAAATCAAAAGCAAATGCTACCCCTTCCCATACACCCCTTTCCTGGTTAAAAGTTGTTGCCTAATTCTAGACACTAAATCCAACTGCCTTTCAATATCAGGAGAGGGAAAACCAAATCCAACCAGCCAATGGACAGTAGCAATCAAAAGATAAAGTTCAACACCTCTGTCTGGCTCCTCAGCCCTTTCCTCAGTTTCTCCAGCAGTGTTCGGTGAATGACCTCCTTGTACTCTTTCTCTGTGGCGTTCAGGGCAGCTAACTTTTTGATGATACTTGTCAAGCACATGCTGGCATTATCACTTAAAGACATATCTCCTAACTGAAAATAAGAAAAAGAACCTAGGATATTATGCCATTAATACATTGTATTCATTAATAAAATATAGACTATTATTTCCAAAGAAAGTGAAACTCTTATCAATGCTCTAGATATAAATTCCTACCACAAAATGTCACACAAGCACCGCATAACTTAGGAAGAACCAGACAGGGGGATGTGAGGCATTGACAAGACCTGATTTTGAAATACCACACTTACTGAGAAGTATCACTTAATGTCAGGACACACTTTTAAATCAGTTTTATTTGCCCAAGCAAGCAAATTAAGAGTTTCACTAAAATCTGTTTTCCGTATCGGGACAGTGTGGAAAATGGCAGACTTGCCTGGTATAACTTGGATCAGGGGCCCCGGAGTTCTCAGTTTAAGAACATAAAGAGGCCAGGTGTGGTGGCACACGCCTTTAATCCTAGCACTTGGGAGGCAGAGGCAGAGGCAGAGGCAGGTGGATCTCTGTGAGTTCAAGGCCAGCCTGGTCTACACAGTGAGTTCCAGGACAGCTGGGGCTACAGGGAGACCCTGTCTCAAAAAAACCAAAACAAACAAACAAAAAAAAGAATATAAAGAGTACAGAGAAGGTTTTCCCAACTTAGCCAACAGGCAGTAACTCAAGATGCCTCATGCTGAAATATGACATGATAGCTGAAAACATGAGCCCTATATGAGAATATCACCTTTTCATAACCTAAATATAATTCCTTTTTTTTGTTTGTCTTCTTGAGACAGGGTCTTCCTGTAGCCCCAGCTGTCCTGGAACTTGCTATGTAGACCAGCCTGGCCTTGAACTCACAGAGATCCACCCGCCTCTGCCTCCCAAACCTAGATATAAATATTGATATAAACTGCCACGGAGATTACTGATGCTACTACATGGTCAACAATAATCAAAGGTTTCGTTTTCCTCTGTTTTGGATTTAATTTGATTCATCAATATGGTACCTAATATAATCTAAATGTTTTATTTCTAGCATATCTTCAATAAAAAGGAGACAAATTTTTGAGTTATAGTTAACTTCTGAAAAGTAATTGAAATGCTGGGGCTGGAGAGATGGCTCAGTGGTTAAGAGCACTGACTACTCTTGCAGAGGACCCAGGTTTGATTCTCAGCACCCACATAGTAGTTAACAACCATCTGTAGTTCCAGTTCCAGGGGATCTGATGCTTTCTTCTGACCTCCATGGGCATTACACAACACAGGTGCACTTACACAAATGCAGGCAATACACTCATAGACTTAAAATACGATGTGCCTGTAGGGGCATGCCTGTGCCACAGAACCCATGTGGAGGTCAGAAGAAAGCTTTCAAGTGTCTATTTCTGCCTTTCTCCTCGTTGAGGCCGCGTCTCTCTTATTTCTGCTGCCATGCACTGAAGGCTAGCCAGTCTGTGAGCTTGTGGTGGAATCTCCTGTCTTCTGCCTCCCATCTCATTTGGATTACAGATATACATCACTACATCTGGCTTTTTTTTTGAGACAGGGTCTCCCTGTAGCTCCAGCTGGCCTTGAACTCACAGAGATACACCAGCTTCTGCCTCCCAAGTGCTGGGATTAAAGGTGTGAGCCACCACGCCCGGCTCTACGTCTATCTGGCTTCTTACACATATTCTGGGGAATGAAGTCAGGTCATCAGGCATGGGCAGCAAGGCCCTTGTCACACTGAGCCACCTCACTGGCCCTCAGTGGTTTCCAGAGTCTTAAGAAAGTTGTACAACCATCACCAATATCTACTTTTGGAAGGTTTTCATTATCACTTTCCTTCTCTACAGCCTGGGTAACCATTCAGGTTTCCTTTGAGTCAGGATCCTGCTATGTAGTCCAGGCTGGTCTTAAACTCTGGACCCTCTGCTCTGCCTTCCTAATGGTAGGATTATAGACATCAGACAAAACATAACTTGTACATTTTTTTTCTAAATGCTTTCATATAGTTATTAAAATATCAGTCTTTCAAATGATAACAATTTGTTTACTAAACAAAAATGGCTGCATTTAAGAGAAATTTTGTTCTTAAAAAACACTTGTCCTAAGGCTGGAAAGATGGCTCAAGGATTAAGAACACCAGGTGTTCTTGCAGAAGACCCGGGTTTGAATCCCAGCACCCACATGGTAGCTAACAACTGTAACTCCAGTTTCAGTGTATCTGACAGCCTTTTCTGACCTCCACAGGCACTGCACGATATGAGTGCACTTACACACATGCAGGCAATACATGCATAGACATAAAATAAAAATAAATAAAATATTAAAAAAAATAACCACTGTCCCCTTCTAAAACACATTGAGAGTTAAGCGACTATACTTAGTAGTTGTATTATCAAAACAGTCTGTACATTTTGCCATGAAAACCTACCTCCATGTTATAGAAACAATTATGCATCACGGGGATTAGGTAGTTAACATCCACCACCTCCATTTCTTTTATGTAAGAGGTGATGGTCTGGAACGCTGAGAAGCGAACGTCAAAGTTGATGTCATCGAGATGCCTTTGATCAAAGGCATTAAGCTACAAGAAATGACATTGAAACCATATAAAGAGAGAGGTACAAGTATTACAGAAACCAAAATGTTAATTCTTATAAAGCCAAAGAGAAATAAGATTTCTTTCTTACCTTAACAATGTCTGCAATATATTTCAGTCCACTTTCAGAATCAGAAAGATTCTAAAAAGGAAGTATATTTAATTTTTTCAGTTTTTTGAGGCAGGCTCTTACTATGTAACACAGGTTAGCTTTGAGTTTGTGATCCTTCTGTCTTAGCTTCCCAAGTGCTGAGATTACAGGTCTGTGCCATTACATCTGGCTAAGAACAATACTTTATTACCTTTTCTGTTCTCTCCTCAGCTTCCTAACCCCACTCAACTTCTTATAAAATCATACTGGAATGAAGGTGGCTTGCACCCATGTTCTACGGGGCATAGTTATCTTAACAAAGAGCAATTTGGGAGATAAATGAATATCACATACCTGGAAAACTGTACAAAGCAACTGTCTTGACAACTTGTTCTTAATAACTGAAAAGAGTTTGGCCAGAGGTCTGAGGAAGCTTGTGGGGTCCAGACAATGTTGTAACAAGTTCTGTACTGTCATCAGAATATCAAGCTCTGTATCCTAAGAATAAGAGAAATCCTATTTCAGAAAACTGGACAATTTGCTTACCTATTTGTGTGTGTGTGTGTGTGTGTGTGGTGTGTAGGTGTATATGTATTTTGAGATGGAGTCTTGGTATCTGGCCCTAGATGGCCTGAAATTACTATGTAGACCAGGCTGGTCTGCCTCTGCTTCCCAAGTGCTGGGATTACACTACCATGTCTAGCTCAATTTAATTTTTTATAGTCTTTTTAAAAGTTTTTGGTATTTTAACTTAACACAAAATCCATAATAATGTTTGTTATAGTTTCTTTCTTTAATTCTAACACAGGATATATGTGAATTTGAAATACAGCTTCTTTAATTGTGTCAAAGAGAAGTCAACAAAATGAATTTTCTGAAGAAAAGGTGAACCTCTAGTTGCCTACACGTTTGTGGGCTTAAACCTGAGCTACTGTGTGGTGACAGATGTTTGGGCTGTTCCTGCTGCCTTGTAATGAGCCACTGGAGACTCTTAACTGGGGCTGAATCCGAGTTTAAGGATCCCATCGGAAACTTGTTGTCTGGACTTCTTAGGCTCTATTTGTTGTTCAAAGAAGAGAAAATGAACCCTGAGATGGATGAGAAGCTCAATGAAGGACAATGGGGACAATTTTACTGCGGTAGCAGGTACCTTTCCACTTGCTGTCCCCCATTCCTATCCTGGCCAAATTTTCCCCCTTTATTTCAAATATTCTACTTGTGTATGGTCTTAAATTCTTCTGTTGCTGTTATTGTTCTTTAAAGAAAGGCACACTGTCATGCGCAGTGCCTCATCTGAATGTGTCTGGAGTCTTGGACACTCGATTCCCTACATTCTCCTACATGTGGACCTTAAGGGCTTGTCTGGAGGTTCCAGCAGGGGAGCACAGATAGTCAGGTACCTTTGACCAAAGACCAGTCCTCCTCTATCAGGGAAGGCCTCCCTCTTCCCTGAGCACGTAGCTTTGGGAGGGATACCCATCTGGACAGTCAGATCAGCCCAATCAACCCTGGGGATTACTGGGGTGACAGATGTTGCAGCCAGATCTGTCTCACTTTTAGTCTTAGGTTCTTTGGGACAAATATGTCACAGAATCTAACTAAAAAATAATCCTGCCCCCTGCCCTCCACACAAATAAACCTAGTGATAAAGCACCACTTTGAAGAGAAAGCAATTGTCCTATGAATCTGTACCTGGAGAATACTGCCCCGGTGGAGGAATGGAAGGAGAAGGGTAATGAGCAGAGAACTCTGTTCTTTGTCTTTCATAAACTTGCTTATCCTAAGGAAGAAAACACATGGACACGTTAGGAAGACATGTAAGCTAGGAATTCTTTCTCTAAGTTAAACTGCAGAAAAGCACCGGTTTTAACACGCTAGTATGCAAGTGGCTTTGAAGTATGCCAGCTATGTTAAAGGTTCATGTGGACATTCAGCAGTGGCCTTCATCTAACCCCTTGCTGCTGCTCTCTGTAATATCTGACTGTGAGGTGCATTTTAACCTTAGTGCTGTCATCTAGCAATTCACGCTTTCTTATTTTGCAAAAAAATAAGACTTTTAAGTACCCACACGGAAGGTTTTATACACAGTACTTCAATGTAATTCCCATCACTGCATGGTGATACAGGAATTTTTTTAGTCAAATTTTGATTGGAGAAAAACTGAGACTCAGAAAAGTAGATGTCATGGAGCTTAGAAGAAATGGGGCAGGTCCTTCAAACTCTGGCCTTTGTGGTGCTTAATCACCTATCATCTTTCCATATCACCTGAGGTACATTTAGTGAGTGCATTCAGTATCTGTTCCCATTCTGCATAACTTAGAAATATTAAGAAAAAAAAAATCACAAAGAAAGTTTCCAGAAGATTCTAATTTAACAAGTTTAGTAACTCATATTAAAATTTAAGATAGAATCATTTCTTGCACTTACTCACATTGCCCTTTACAGAAACCAATTACATACTATTAATTCTACTGCTAAAGTCTTTAAAAACCCTTGAAAGATTTTGACTTCTTTTTTAAAGATCTTACAAAACCGGTATGTGCTCTACCCTTGAGCTACACGCTCAACCTATCCCCTTCCTTCCCCTTCCCTCCCTCTTCCCTTTTCTTTATGTTCAGTGCTGGAGACCGAAGCCAGAAACCTGCACATGTTATTGAAGAATATTTTCCAATTTGTTCAAAAATTAGCTGAAAAACAAGAGAAAAATTTAAAAAATTTTAAAACTATGTTGGTAATGTTAATTTTTGTCCTTCTGGTTGTGAGTCTGAGCCTTTAACAGCTGCATCAGCTCTCTAGCCCAGTGATGTTAATTTTTAAGTACAAATATGCCACTTACTTTGAAAGAATGCCAAGTTCCTTACTGACTTGTGCCCTATTCTTTTTCTTTTTCAACTTTTCTGCATTGATTGTGGTTTTGCTGAGATACTGCAGAATTACAGGCACATGAGGTAGAATTAATCTTCCTCCCAAAGTGATAGGCTCTGAAACAGATTGTTTAATTTAATAAGCTGTTTTAAAGCATCATTATATACTTCTTGATGAGGAAAGCATTCAAATATTAATGCTTTTAATTTAATACACTTAAATTAGCTCTAAATATTAAATAACTTTCTTATTTAAGAGCTATATCACTAGCTAAAATCACCTCTCTCTCTCTCTCTCTTTCTTTTTGGTCTTTTTGAGACAGGGTCTCCCTGAAGCCTCAACTGGCCTGGAACTACTATATAGACCAAGCTGGCCTCAATCTCAGAGATCCACCCACCTCTGCCTCCTGGGTCCTGGAACTAAAGGCATGTGCCACCATACCCAGCTAAAATCAAATTTAAGACCTTTCAGGCTAAAACATTTCTCATAATAGTATAAAGAAGGTGTTGGGATACTAGTAAGGAAAAATTCAGGTTTAATAGTGGAATCATTAGTGGAGGAAAACAGGCTGCCTGAGATTTCAGTTCATATAAATGAGTGTTAGCTCTCAGAGAAAAGAAACAGCACAAGCTATTAAAGTTAAATTCGACAGATTCTTCTCTGAGAACTGCTACCTATGAAGTCTAAGAGTCTCACTTCGTGCAGCATACGCACCCTCTGTGTTTCCCGCTACGTCAGTATACACACAGCCAGCTACTGACAAGCTGGGCACTGCTTCTGTGGGCTCAAAATCTGGGAGGCTCAGGAGGTCATCCACTACATCCATTATAATGCTGGCTGTGGCATCAGACAGATTCTTTGCTGAGAGAATTGCAAAGACATTGGTCAGGATATCACATTCGGGGCACCCAGGTTTCTGTTTAGCCAGAAAAGGGAAATATCTGCAAGGAAAAATTACATTGTAATGACATTGTAATTCTTAGCATGTTAGTGTCTAAAAAGAAGTCATAAGAATTTTATATCAAGTTTAACATGTGTGTGTCTAGGAATAATAAAATTACTTACAAGATGAATTACTTTAAATCTAAAACTTAATGGATAACCCTAGGCATTATATAAACATTACTCAGATTTATATATATTTCTCATTTAATCTTTATAACATCTCTATGAGGTATTATTTCACATTATAGAAGAAGTGAGATTTGTCAAAGTCATTGATCTTTAAAAATAAGTGGAAGACATAAAATAAAAATAGTAAGTATTTTTAAAAAATAAGTGGAAGAGCTGAGACTTGAATACAGCTCGATTTCTAGTCTCAGCCCTTTCTACTTTTCAATTATAAGATTTCTAGAATGGGACTGGAGAGATGGCTCAGGGGTTAAGAGTACTGGCTGCTCTTTCAGAGGATCTGGGTTTGATTTCTAGCACCCACATGATGGCTAACCATCTGTAACTCCAGTTGCAGGAAATCTGACACCTTCTTTTGACCCCTGTGGGCACTGCATGACATGGGTGCACTTATATATATGCAGACAATACACTCACATACATAAAATAAAATAAAATAATAAAATATTACAAAAAAGATTTCTAGAATATGAGGCTTGTTGCTCTTACAGAGGACTTGGGTTTGGTTCCTAGCACCCACATGGCACCCACATGGTAGCTCACAGCCACCTGTAACTCCAGTTTTAGGGGACCTGATGCCTTCTTCTGGCCTCTGCAGGCACCAGACACACATGTGGTCCATACATACATATATACATGCAGTTACAACTGTCATATACATATGATTAAAATAATAAATAAATAATGATTTTAGAATGCAAATGTCTATAAGTGCATATAAAAACCTATTTACTAAGAGTTAGGTGTAGAGTTCCAATAAACATCTGTTATATGTAGATATGCAACATTCACAGTCAGAGGACAATCCATCCTCAATAATGCAATGCTCATAGGCAGGCGGATGGCTGTGAAAGTGAGGCCAGCCTGGTCTACATAGTGAGTTCCAGACCAGCTGAGGCTACAGGGAGACCCTGTCTCAAAATCATAAAAAAATAAATAAATAAAATAAATAGATGCAATGCTCTTAAAAAAGACTGGAATATTCCTCCAGGTGGAAACACAGCAAATAATTTTTAGGTTAAAAAAAAACAACAAACTTGAGAAGCTTAATTTTATTGACACTTTACCACTGAAAAAAGAATTCAAGTACTTTAATAAACTTAGCACTAGCAAAGTAATAGGAAAGTTATAAGAGGCTCTGCTTATATATCTTTCTGTCCAATAAGTATTAGACATAGTATGAATAGGTTTCAGCTCTTTACGTATATCATCTCCATCATCAATGAAGTAAGTTTGTTATTGTTTTATGTGTAAGTGTAAGTTCATGGGTGCATGAGCACGTGGAGGTCAGGATGATCTTCAGTGTCATTCCTTAGGCATTATTTTTTCGGAATGAGTTTCTCATTGGTCTGGAGCTTTACCTTTTGGGCTAGGCCAGCTGGTCAGCGAGCTTCCAGGCAAGTGCCTGTCTCTGCCTCCCACCTCACTATCTCTGAGATTACAGCATGCTCGCTCCATGGAGCCTGGCTTTTTGCATGGATTCTGGGGACTGTACTCAGGTCCTTTACACTTGTACCAATGGATCCACCTCCCCAGGCCAACAGTCTGTTATTTCTAGTTTACAGGTAACAGAACTGAGGCTCAGAGATGCCACGATATAGTGAACATGCTCCATGCAGATGTGCATGGCTCAGTCAGAAACTTCAACCACTCACTTGACATGCATGAGCACCAACTAAGCCTGGATGAAGAGGATCAACTCTGTGGAGAGAAATGCTCTCTGTCTTTAAAGAATTTAGGAAGGTAATTATGAAGAGAAAGTACAAGCGAGGCATGACGGGTGACAGGACTGGAAGGAGCAAGCCACACAAGGTTGATCATGGTGATTAGAACCAGCACAACTGCGTGGCAAGGAGTGTGTTAGTGTATGTTGGTTTCCTGGCTTAGTTGTTTGTTTGACAGGGTCTCACTGTGTTGCCCCAGGTATCCTGGACCTCACTATGCAGACCAGGTTGGTCTTGAACTCACAGAAAGCTGTCTGCCTCTGCCTCCTGAGTACTGGTATTAAAGGCGTGAGCCACCACAGCCGGTCCATGGATAACTTTTAAAAAATATGTATTTTATTTATTAATTTTCTGTGTATGAGTGTATTGCCTTCATGTGTGTTAGTGCACCCATGTGGTACAATGTCCATGAAGGTCAGAAGAGGGTGTTGGATCCCCTGGAACTGGAGTTATGGAGAGTTGTTAGCTGCCATGTGGGTTCTGGGAATCAAACCCCGTTCCTCTGTAAGAACAGCTAGTGCTCTTAACTGCTGAGCCATCTTTTCAGCCCACTTTTTTTTTTTTAAATTACATCTCTTTATCTTCAGAAAATTTTCAGTTTGAACAGAAAATTATGTGATCATACTAGATGATAAGTAAGTTTTAGATGTCTTGAGTACACTTAATGACATTTACCCTTATTTGTAAGCTTAAAGATAGTAGCCTCAGTTCTATATGGATTTATCCAAAAGAAAACCATTAGACTTGTCTATAGATAGAAAAATCTACTTTGATATTTGATTGACACTATGTAAATGGTAGGTTTACTTTAAATTTTTTATTTCATTCATTCATTCATTCATTGTGTGGGTCCATGTGTGCCACTATGTACATGTGGAAAGTCAGAGGAAAACTTGGGTCATTCATTCACTCATTTACTTAGTGTGTGTATGTGTGTGTGTGCATGTGTGCCACTATGCACATGTGGAAGGTCAGAGGAAAACCTGGGAGTTCTCTCCTTCTACCATATGGATCTTGGAATTGAAGTTGGGTTGTCAGGGTTGGAGGCAAGTGCCTTTATCTACTGAACCATCCTGCTGGCTCTAGGTTTACATTAAAATCAGACTTTTTTTTTGTCTTTAAAAAGAGTAACATTTTTATAGTGTTTTTTGACATATGTATTTAATTCTTTCATATACAACTATATGTGTGTATCAGTGGTTATGAATATTCTGAGGTCAGTCAGCCCTCCTAGAGATTATTTTTGGTGTTACATATAAAAGAGAGAAGAAAAAAATATTAATCATCTTCTTTCTAGAGTGTTATGTTTTTCTTAATTTCTCAGCAAAAAAGAAGAGGATTGGAGAGATGGCTCAGTGGTTAAGAGCACTGGTTGCTCTTGCAGGGGACCCAGGTTCACATGGCAGCTAACAACCAGTTCCAGGGGTTCATACGCCCTCTTCTGACCTCCACAGGCATTGCATGACACAGGTACACTTACATATGTGCAGGCAATACATTCATACACATAAAATAAAAATAATAAAATATTTAAAAAATGAGAAAGAGCCAGGCGTGGTGGCGCACGCCTTTAATCCCAGCACTTGGGAGGCAGAGGTAGGCAGTTCTCTGTGAGCTCAAGGCCAGCCTAGACTACACAGTGAGTTCCAGGACAGCTAGGGCTATAGGGAGACCCTGTCTCAAAAAGAGCTGCGCCCCCTCCCCCCAAAAAAAGAGAAAGAAATTTCAGGATGCAATGAAATGGTGTTTGATGTGGGTGTACCTTGAATAAGGAACCAAATAAAAAGCTAAAGCTCTACTGAAATATCTTGCTGGACTAAGGCCCTTAATGGCTTGTTTGCATAAGAATTACATAAGTATACGACTATAAAATACTGCTTATAGGTGCTCAGAAATAAGATGTGAATTGCTTTATCAAATGGGGAAATGAGTAAAATGAAGCCTTTTCCTAGTTTTTTTTTTTTTTAAAAAGGTATTCCTACTAGTAAAACACATAGATGAAGAAAACAAGGCTTTTGGTTTGTTTTTGAAAACTATTCAATGACAAGAAAATATGCACAATAACAGTAAATGAAGAAAACAAAACAAAAAACTGGCTATAAAGAATAATCCCAATTCTGTGAAAAGCCAATGCCAGGATTTTAATCAATGCCACTGAATCAGTACCAAAGCTTTACCTGACCTTAAGAGTGGCAATGATTTAGACAGTAGTTTTACAAAGAAGACAATGACCTAGAAAATCCAGAAAGTTTACAGGTCTTTCTGATTCCCCACTTAAAATGAGAACTGGGAAAAGATATAATAGAGTATCAATAACAAATCAGCATTACTTTTAAGCAAGCATGCAAAAATGGCAATTTCACGTGCAGTTTCTAGGTATGTTTCACGTTCTGCTTCTTCACTGGCCTGGCCAGATCACACTGCTGAAGCAATAACCATACACTGGAATAATATTTCTAACAATTCCAATACTGCAAATTTTCATTCTTTAAACTATTAAAACTGGAATAAGTGCATTTGTTTGGATGCAATATATATGCTACAATTTGAATTTATATTATACTGCAAGATATAATTTTACCATTTTTATTGTGAATTATTCAAACATCCTAAAGGACATATAAAGAGTCTCTTTTTTTTTGCTCTGGACCACTCATATCACAATTAGGGTTCTCATAGAGTTTCAGTCCTATGAGGACTCTGAAAAGGTTGGGACTAACCGTGGTTACTAGAGGCTGAGTAGGATGCAGGCAGGGACACAGGAAGACTGGATGGAAGGTACTATATTGCTTTGACATGCTACTTACTGCACAGGAGGATGGGAACAGAGAACGCTAACTGTACTGACATTTCAAAAAATCTAGAAGAGCTGGGCATGGTGGTGCATGCCTTTAATCCTAGCACTTGGGAGGCAGAGGCAGGCAGATCTCTGTGAGTTCAAGGGCTGGTCTACATAGTGAGTTCCAGGCCAGCTGGGGATATGTGGAGACCCTGTCTCAAAAGGACCAAAAAAAAAAAGGAAAAAGCTAGAAGAAAAATTGTTCCTACTAGAAAGATATTTGAGTAGAAAGGCAGATATCTGAGTAGGTATGTTTACCTTGACTTGAACATCATACAATGGACATACTAAAATATCACATAACCTAAAAATCTCTGAAATTTACGTCTTTAATATTTAAAGTTTTTCATGCACCCTAGATATTTGCTTTATTTCATATTTAATAGAAATATACCTAAAAGTACTTGTCCTGAAACATAATATACATATTAACAACTTACATTTTTCTTAAAATTATCTATTTTATAATCTTTCCTTGTTTTTCTTCAACTACTTTATCCTTTTTTAAATGCAACCGAAGTAATTCATTGTACAGAAAGATCATAAATTATATTATTTCCCTAGACTGGCTTTGACTGAATTAGTCCAGAACACTGCTCCTTTTCACAGGAAAGGAAAAAGGTTCTACCTTGCATTTCTGCTCCAGACACTAATGAGCTTCAACAGAGGAGTAGGTGAATACTGACTCTCAGATCCAAGTCTGCAGATCTAGGATAAAAAATAAAAGCAATTTAAAACACACAGGGAATTACAAAAAACAAACAAACAACAACAACAACAACAACAACAAAGCAAGACCGAAACAACCCAAAAGCAACCATCAAGCAGAATAAGCATCACAGGGGAGAATAAACAGACGAGGGCAGAGATAACACATGAAGGACTAAGGAAAAGATGAAAGACGCAAAGTGGTTTTAACAGAGAAAAAAGCAATGGCGGTGTATGGCATTTCTAGGCATCAGGTATTTTAGGGCTTTGAATGGTCAGAAATGACTGAGCGCACACAGCTAAGAATCTTTCTGAAAAATTAAGTCTCTTCTGTAGTCTTCTTAATTAACTACACTAGTTATCAACTGGTTATGAGCAGAGAAATCTAATAAGGAAAGGTAAATAAAACACATTATTTCATCTAGTGTTTGTTATTATGAGATGCTAGCAAAGTTATGGAACATTTCTTTAAGAGACAGAGTCATATTCAAGTTAACATCAAGTATAAATGCCATGGTATATAAGAATCGACTCCTGCTCTTTCGGTCTGGTAGTAGAGGCAAACAAAAGTGTTTTAATGATTTACAGATATGGTCCTGATGTAAGTGAAAAGATTGACAACATTCATGTCTGAGTGGTAGACTATGCTGGTGAACTGAAAATGAAGGGAAAAGTAGAAGGTACCAGGCAGAACGTAGAAATCAAGGTTTACCTGGGGCCAAACTGCACCATGAAACACAGCGTCAATTTCCTCTGTTTTGAACTGATAGGATTCCCAATCCAAAAAGATGTCCGTGACCATCTTGAGTCCAAGACGTCTTAAATTTTTCAGTGGGTTAATAAACCTCAGCTGTATCTACAAAATGAAGACCTTTTAAAATATTTACTATTTTTATTTTATGTGTATGAATGTATTGCCTGCATGCATGTATGCACCTGTTTCATGCAACGGCTGCAGAGGACAGAATAGGGTGTTGGATCTCCAGGAATCAGAGTTGTTAGCCACCATGTGGGTGCTAGGATTTGAACCTGGGTCTTCTGCAAGAATAGTTAGTGCTCTTAACACTGAGCCATCTCTCCAGCCCCAAGACCTTTTCAAAGACCTCTCTCTCTCTCTCTCTCTCTCTGCCCTTGATCCTTGGAATCAAGACACTCTTGCTCTTCTGTTGGTGATTCTGTTTTTGAATGTATTGACTTCTATTCACATGGGAACCTTAACTAGCGATCATACTGCTTTTCTCATTGAACAAAAGGAGAAGTAGGAAAAAAAAAGTAAATATGAACAAGGGACACACTTAATTTGTCACATAAGCCAGAAAGGAATCATGAAATCACACACCATCTACTGGTGGCTAATTATCTCATTATTCACGTTATGGAGGAAAGAACAGGCAAATACAAGGTGACATAATTACAAGTCATTCTGATCTGCTTTGATTCTATTAGGAGTATTTTCACTATCAGTTGAATCATGCTTGGTTGAGGATAAAAGCAATCACTGATACTTAAAAAAAAAATCATGGTATTGTGCTCACCTGGAACACATAACATTAACAAACATGACCTCAAATAAGACACCTGACCCTTCTCTACCCCGCTCTCCCTCCCATGGCTAGGACACCTATATTCTATTCATTTCCACAACTATAGCACCAGCTGTCCAGTTTCTTCCATAACTGTTGAACAAGTGGAGGAAAATCCAGAAAATAAACTGTAGACTTTAAGCCCATTTACACATCAGCCTATTGCTTAAATGTACAAATACCACAAAACCATTCACAATTTTCATGACACATATTTCAATGTCAGTCAATACCCCAAAACCTATCAAAGTCATAAAAAAGCAAATGTGTAACTATGCTCAAACACATAAATGTAGAACTTAAACTGATTTAGGCAAAATTACTGTGGGATAATTCATTATGCCATTTAGAGGAATTCCTTGGACTTGTTTAAAAAAAAAAAAGAAGCTCCTCTCACATCTGTGAATAAGCCTAACACCTCACTACCTAATGAACTATGAAATTGCATAAATGATCCTTTGAGTTACTAAATGTTGGCATGGGAGCAAAGTTCATTAATGAGTAACTTCTAAGTTAATCAAAAGTCCAAAGGACACATCTTTACAGAGCCTGTCACCCTTCGTGATTTAATACATGCATAGACAGTCACTTTTATTCGGTCTAAGGCACAAATGAAAACTCCCATAATCTCCCTATGGCCCTTAAGCTCTCATACAACAGAAACATTTTCCCATGACCTCTTTTTTGGCTCCATTTCTGGTCTCAATCTCAATGCCTTTTCTCCACGAGCAACTAAAGTGATATTTTTAAAGCACTGTAGTCTTTATCGTGCCTCTGCTTAGTTTCTCATCCATTTCCCAGTAGGAAGCATGTTTTCACACTTACAAGTAAACGCACATCCTGTCAGAGCCTGTGAGGACCACACAATCCACCCTACCTGTCCCTCTCCAACCTCACCTCACCCAATGCTTTCTGTTCACTGTGCCCTGGACACCTCAGCCTTGTCTCTTACCAGAACTTTCCAAGACTGTGCCCACCTCAGGATCTGCTCTAGTCATATATTTCTTTGTCAAATCAGATTCATGTCTATCCATTGCCCCCCAAAGCAATTCTGGCTGTCAACTTTTGCTTAAGACCATTTCATTGGGTATAACCATGAATCAACACAGGTGAGTTTTCACCAAATTAAAATTATGCCCATTTGTCATTAATAGTCAGAGACTGACTCAACAGCCCAAATCTGAGCCTGATCCAAGCTCTAATTGCTCCAAGAGGCCTTCCATCCATCATAATTTAGAGAGTATTTCCCTAAACTCTAAAAAGCACACATGTCTGCATACTTGTTTCAACAGAACATAAAAATTGTTTGGAATATGAAGGATAAGTATCTAAACTTGGAAAGCCCAAAGCCAGGTGAGAAAGGCCCAACCTGGACACTGGGATAGCTGAGGAAAACGTGTGTCAGCACTTACTGTCCCAAACCCTCAAACCATAAAAAAAAACAACCCAGAACTACAGAAAAATACCCAGCCTTTCCTCTTTCAACCGTCTTAAAAACCTTACACCAACTGGGCCTCAGTGCAGTCTCCATCCCGCGGAGACACTGCTGCCCCTTCACTGATCTAATTAAGAGCCATCTGCCACTGTTGAGGTCAATCTCATTTCTTTCATTTCCACATTGCCCCAGTCAATCCTCATCTAACATGTTTTAACAAAATACAATTTAGAAAAGAATCCAGGGAGTGCCTTTTGCCCAGAGCTAGCCAGGTGACCGGCCCTGCTCATCCTCCTGCTAATCTACTCAGAACACTGCACAGAACGCAGGCAAGCATCTATTTCTTCACGAGTTCTATGCAATTCTGTCTCAAAATAACAAGGGTCACACAAGGAGACAACCTTGAAAGACATTAGTAATTCTGACTCCAACCCAACTTCCAAGTAAAACACGAACTGTTTCAGTCAGCTAAGAAGAAAGCATCTACTAAGACTCTCACCTTTTCTCGTTGATCAAGGATGCATGAAATGGTCGCTGTCATACACAGTAATATCTGCAAAATCTTTGGTAGGTATGCACTGATCAGATGACTGATGTTTTTCAATACGATTTCTAGGCTATTTAAGATGCCATGCTGACGACCCACAGGAAGAACTCTAGACAAATCCAAATCTTCTGCTGCTTGAATGACTGCAGTGTGGCACTCCCCTAGCGAAACAGGAAAAGATGCTGTGTGGAGCAAAATGCTTGTCTGTGCTCATTTTGGCTTTCCTTGCAAGTTCCCCCATGCTATGATGATTTACAGGGGACAGTGCATTCTTTGATGGCATCTCCTAATTCTTACCCAACAGTCAATGAGTTGGGATAGTTGCACTTTACTGTTCACACTTCACAGATGGGGAATGAGCAATAAGGGGGGTAAGAAGCTAGCTGGAGAGTTGACTCCAAACATAAATCTCATTTAATTTTTTAAAAATACCATGCCTGAACCCTGGCATTGCTAACCATATTATTATTGAACTATGCTGAGTTCAGTAGATTCATAGAAACTTCTGTTGCACTAAAGTTCCTTAAAGGCTAAGAATAAAATGCCCTATTTCTCATATAATTCTGGATTAATAAATAAAAACAATAGGGCTTTATAAACAACTGCTATAATACTGATTTCAGAATTTACCCCAAAGATCTGAATTAATACTGCTTAAACTTTGCATAAATAATTTCAGATAAGACCCTGACTGTATCATTTACATCTAGCCTCCTAGACAGGGGGCCATCCACCCAGCTTAAACCTTCGAAAGTCACTGAAGCCACCCTCCTACATGGGGCAGGCGATATTGCACTGAATGAAAATCTATGAACAAAACAAATGCAACATAGTACTCAACAAATAAATATTTATGGTTAAAGCAAATCACCAGCAGAACTGGAACAAAGGATTTTGTAGTCAGAAAGGTCAGGGTTCACATCCTACTTCTATCACTGTCCAATAATAGCCTTTGAAGGCTCAGTTTCCTCATTTGGAAACTAGGGACAATTAAGTAATGATATCACATGTGATTGTTTTAAGAATCAACTGAGTTGCTTGCAAAGGGGCTTTTTAAAATTTTTTTACTATTTTATTTTTGTTATGTGTATAAGTATATTGCCTCTATGTGTATAAGGGCACCCGAGTTGTGCAATGTCCGAGAAGATCAGAAGAGGGCACTGGATCCCCTGGAACTAGAGTTACGGAAGTTGTTAGCTGCCATGTGAGTGCTGGGAATTGAACTGCAAGAGCAGGTAGTCCTCTTAACCAGTGAGTCATCGCTCCAGTTTTGCAAAGGGGCCTTTTATAACTTTTGGTATAAAGTGAGTGCTTAACACATCTAGTCATGATTAGTGATCACAATGACTGACATCACATGCTAGATGACAACACCGAGCACCAGAGGTCACCACATACTTTTCTGCAATGGTGCCATAGAGACTGCTTTTCTTTTTTTTTTTTGGTCTTTTCCCTCCAGCTGGCCTGGAATTCAGGGTGGCGCACACCTTTAATCCCAGTACTCCAGAGGTAGAGGCAGGTAGATCTCTGTGAGACTGCTTTTCAACTTAGCAGAGGATCTGGGGCACAGAAGCTATTGATAAGTCATGCTCAATACGTAAATAAATAGCTAAACAGCAAAACAATTAAGACTAATTTTTGTAATTTGTTTTCAATTTCTTAGGAGCAAATCCTTTTGTATTTTAAAACAGTCTTAATCTGAAGCCTTGGCTGGCCTGGAATTCACCACGTAGACCAGTCTGGCCCATTCTTTGTATATAGTCAAGCAATCACTATTTTTCAATTGCACAACAACAAAACATATTTTCTAATCAAGGTCCTCTAACTCAAGGGTACTGACAACCCTGGTGTCAACTGTAAGATCATCAAAGTTTAACGTGAACTGAATTTCAGCCAAAGATATCACTGAGGCTGGAGGGGTAGTCCCATTAGAAAGACTCTGTCTAGGAGAACATGGACAATCCATCCTGAAACAAGAGTCCACTACAGAGGAAGAACATTTGGCGAGGGGGGCAGAGAGCACCTACCATTCTTAAAGTGCTTCACAGGTTCAGACAGCAGGTCTAAGAATGTCTGGATCTCTTCGGGTTGGGTCCCGGCAAGGAAGCGCAGCACAGTGGCTGTGCGCGTACCTGAAGCGGACTTCCCCTGAGTTTTACTTCCTGTCTTATTCTTCATTCGCCCATACAGAATTCTGGAAAGACAAAAGAACATTATTAATATGCCTGCTTATTCTAAAACATAATACTAGGTGTATGAATTCCTAAAAGGCTATAATGAGCAACTCCAAAGATTTCAATGGCTATATTATAAAATAAAAGGAAAACAGAATAGAACACAGGTATTCAGAAAAATAACAATGAAACGAGGCTAGCAGGAAGCAGGAGAAGAAAATAGACAGAGACCAGAAGGGACTTCATTGTATGAGAGAGAGAAAAAGTAATAAAATGGGGAAGTCATGGGTAAGCTTAATCAAGGAAAAATGAAAACAAGAATATACACGTTAAAAGGAAGTGAAACAAGAGACCTAAGAAAACAAGGAAACTCAGGAGGTTTCAATGAAACGCTGTGAAAAAAGACGCATGTATAAATGAGCAAAAGGAACTCATGAAAGAAAATCTAAATAGACCCAAATCACTGGAAACCAGAGTTTACATAATTTTTAGCAAAGTCTAAAAATTTCCAGGAAAAAATATAGTTCTTATGCTACAGTTTCATAACAGAGAAAGAAAAGGTTTTCTTTATGGAAAGAACTAATACAGAGGTGAGTTAATGAGCAGAAATAACTACATACTAACTTTGCTTATGCACACAAAGCACAGCAGGTCCTATCCCCCTCCCTCCTTCCCTCACAATAAAAAACCACAGCAGCTCTCCCTCCCCTTTCCTCCCTGTCCTGCCTAGGCTGGCCTTGAACTGGGTGCATGGGATTACATGAAACAATACTATACTTGGCTCAAAACACAGTATCCACTGATGCATTAAAATCAAGTAAGGATTATCCTGGGAAATGCAATGAAGAGTAATAAGTAAACATACTGGAATAATACAGACCAAGAGTAAAAATGTTAATGTGACCATTTTAAGAATCCCAAAGAGTCAGTAAAGATTATTTTACAAAAACATAAAATACTCCATACCAGACAAGCAAAATATTCAACAAGTAAGAGCTGGGTTAGCAAATTATAATACCAATATAACGGCAATCACATTTTAAAACATTCCATGATCTGAGAATATTCTTAAATGGTAAATTAGATAAGGTTGTAAAATACTTTTTATCAGATCAACTGCAATTTCCCTTGTAAAACTGTGTATCTATGTGTATCCAGATAGTTTTTGGTAGTTTGTATTTAACTACATTTTGTTTTTGCCTTTAGAGACTTTAAATGTCATTAGTTTTATTGAACTTTACAATTTACAATCCTTTCAACAGATCATAAAGTTAACTATGGTTAGCTGGGCGTGGTGGTGCACACCTTTAATCCTAGCAGAGGCAGGCAGATCTCTGTGAAGTTTGAGGCAAGCCTCGTCTACATAGTGAATTCTAGTCAGCTGGGGCTACAGAGAGACCCTGTTTCAAAAAGATGAAAAAAAAAAAGTTAATGGTGGTTAATTTCAAGTTTGGATAAGGTGATCGATTACTGCTTTCCAATTTTATGTTTTCATAATCCAACAAGAATTCTAATTTTGTAGACTCATTTATTAAAATATTTTATCTATTACACCAACCTCTTAATGCTGGTTATAAATGGAATAAAAAATAATTGACTGGATCAGAACAGTAGAGCCTCCAAAGTATATGTGAACACACTCTGCCCATAAAGGGAATAGAAGCCCAGAAATGTCAAAGATGCAGTTGTAGTTCCGCAAAGTCCCATGGTGTGGAGAGAAGCAAAGGTCTGCTACAGTCCACTCCCCCGATCTTTCCAAGTCTACCATTCCAGAGCTGGTGAAAGACTCAAGTTTCAGCTTTATAGTCAGTGTATATGATCTTTGCATTATTTATTAATCATCTTTGTGATCTACCATTAATAATTTATAGACTAGTAACACTGCTAAATATCACAAGATACTTAAGACATTGGAATGAATTATTTCTACTACAGCTCAATAGTAAAGGTTGGAGGAAAAACTAGACTCAATTTTAACACTATTAAAGTAACACCACAGTAAGACCTCTTGATGTTAGAATAAAATAGTTTTTAATAAGAAATGATTTGACTTTCCCAAAACATCCAATTAAGGAAGAAAAAAAATGAGTGCTGGAGATACAGCTTAGCTGGTGGAGTGTTTGCCTAGCATGTACAAAGCCATGGGTTTGATTCTAGAACTATATAAAGTTAGGCATGATGATGCATGCCTGTAATTCTAGCACTGGGAAGGTGGAGGCAGAGGATCCAGAGTTGAAGTGTCTTTGCTTCATAGTGTGTTTGTAGACAGCCTGGGCTATAAGAGATCCTGTCTTAAAAAAAAAAAAAACTGAAAGAAAATCCAGTGAAATATTCACATTAGAACTACTGAAGAGAATCACACTACTTACTGTATTACAACTGAGTTTCTGATTGACATTTTTAAACAGTATAAATACCTCATCAGAATAGGAAACAAATCTGCCCGGTGGGCCATTTTCACTACAGAATTATCTTCTGAAATGCTGAAATGCACTATCTCTTCCTTAAAGCTTCTGTCGTCCAGTAACCTTTGTAAGTTTTCCCTTTAAACAGAATACAGAACAAATTATCACTCAGTTCACAGAACTTTTCAAAAATGTTGATTCATATTTATGGAAAGCATTAAGTACAACTAAAATAAGTTTTTTTTTTTTTTTTTTTTTTTTTTTTTTTTTGGTCTTTTTGAGACAGGGTCTCTCTGTAGCCCCAGCTGAGCCTGGAACTCACTTTGTAGACCAGGCTGGCCTTGAACTCACAGAGATCCACCTGCCTCTACCTCCCGAGTGCTGGGACTAAAGGTGTGCGCTACCACACCTGGCTAAAATAAGTTATTAAACACTTCATACTGAGGTTGACATCCTGAAGGAAAGTCCTTACAAAAGTATGCTCAAATTTTAAAAGACAAATGGCTTAGAAGGGATTAGAGTTGGTTATAATATAGATGTTTAGGAAAGCGTGATGCTTTACTTCTTAGGAATCATGATTTGATTCCTTGGTAAGTGAATCTGTAAAGTCTACCAAAACTTTACAGATACATTAACAAGTACAGAGAAATGTTATCCTCTGTCATAGACATATTTTAAAGTTAGTAATTTCTTTTCTACTTGACTATTTACAGAAAACAAATACACTTTTAATTTTCATTTCTTGCCTGAAAACAGAACTATAATTATTTTGGAAAAGAGGAAAATTTCTCAATCCTCTAAAAATGTATTTAGAAGTGGCTCCTAGGTAAGATGTCTCCAGCCTTAGCAACTTACCTGTAAGGCAGGATATGTGGGTGTTTATAGGTCATTAGGCAATCCAAGGTTATTTTTTGTACTGTTTGATCTTGGTGTAGCAATAACTAGGAATGACATTTTATAGAATAAGTTAATGAAACAGGCACATACACAAACCATGAGATAGCAATGTGCTAATCTGCTTAATTAAATTTCCTAAAATCTAAATCTTTAGACAAGGTTTCAGCTGATTTTTGACAACAGCCTTATATTTTCCAGGAGTAAATGGAGGATAACCAGAGTATGTGCAACAAAATGGAAATGGGCCAGGTGTCTGCTGCACATCTAGAACCTCAGCACTCTGAAGGATGTTAGGCGGGAGGATTCAGAGTTTGAGAGCAGCCTCATTGACACAGTTGGGACTTCAGGGTGGGATGGAGGGGGGAGGGGGGGATAAAGAAAACTCCAACCTCAATTCTCTGTGTGAATCTGGATTTTATCCAGCTGAACTGGTCCTGAGATGAAGAAACTCCATACTATAAAGGTTAATAGTAAGATGCCGGGAGGGAGGACTTGGCTGAGGTCCCTCCAGTTAATTTTAAAATGCTGTAATCCTGTGTAACAGACTTTTAAGCACTGTCTTTCTGAACAAGGTCTCTCTCAATTACAGGCAGAACATGGACAAATTCTGCTGAAATCATCTAAAGACTATCCAAATGATAAGAGAAAATTTTATCAGTTTAGGGTGACAACTTAATACTTGCTCTGCTTCTAGAATTAAAGTTTTTGGCAATACCTTCTAGAGTTCAGGGATTTATGTTATAATGACAACAATTATGTCACCTATCTGATCTCACTTCATCTAGTAGATACTGAAAGCTGAGTCTACCAAGCCTGAATTAATGGGAAGGGCAATCAACTGTTTTTGGTACAGTTCCTATTTCTTTCTTTTTTTTTTTTTTCTCATTAAGCTTTTATTTTTAATTTAGGTTTACAATAAACAGAAAAGTTGATCATTAAAAAAATAACCATAGCTGTTAATTTTTAAAATGAGGTTTATGTTTTAAAGCATTATCACTATACCCTATAATTACATCTTTTATATATAAGAACTGTGTACAAAGTGCTTTCAAACTATACAGTAAGATTTTGAAACCCATTTCTTTCTATAATACAATTTATGATTTACTCTTAATACAGCTGGCCAACATTTAGTCACCCCAAATATGAAAATTGCTTATTATGATAAAAGTGTGTTTATTAATTAAAAGAAAACAGACACGGGTCATATTCATTGATTACTGAAAACCTAAGTTACTTCGATAAAGAAAGGTGATAGAGAAAGGTTTTCAGGGACTAAAGTGCTCCGAATTTATTTTACTTACCTGAAGATATAATTCATATAACTTGGATTCCAGATATAAGGCCCGTGGGTTTGAAAATTTAGAGAAGACTTGCAAATGAACAATTAACTGCCTAAATAAAACAAGAGGGCAATATAGGATTAATGAATAAGGATTTTCTTTTTTTTCCCATTAAAAAATTATTTATTCTTATTTTATGTGTGTGAGTGTATTGCCTGCATGTATGTAAGCGCACTTGTGCTATGCAAAGCCTGAAGAGGTCAGAAGAGGGCAGCAGATCTCCTGAAACTGGAGTTATAGACAGTTGTCAGCTGCCATGTGGGTCCTGGGAGCTGAACCTACCTGGGTCCTCTGCAAGAGCAATCAGTGCTCTTAACTGCTGAGCCATCTCCCCAAGTTATTTTCTCGAGATGGCACTGCCCACCATTTTACTTTCTGATAAGTATTCCAAATACCCTACCCATAGTTCTACTATCAATCACTCAAATAAATTCAAATTATGAGAAAATGATTTTCTAGAAACTCCGAATCTTAGGCAAGCCTCTTCCACAATTCAGGCTTTCTACTTTAGGAAACCCTTCAGGATTCGCTTCAAAAGGCTTAAACTAAACCAAAACCAGAAAGAGGGCAATCAAATCAGTCATGCTATCGAAAGCTGAGCACAGATGATCGGGTAATCATTCTTTCTCTGGGTTCTCTGAAGCAGACAGGGAGTGGTAGAGTGCACTCCTCTTGCTTTCACAGTGATCAACACTGATGTCAGGCAACAGAGGCCCCAGGTTAGATGACAATGGCTCTTACTTACTATGAAGAACTGGAAGAAACAAAAATGCTGTGTCTGTAAGTTAAAACACAAAGACGGGGATGTCCAAAGCAAATGGCACCATCTACAGAACAGACTGAGGAGGGAGTGCCGCCCTCATGGAAGAAAGAGTATCAGCTCGGGCTATGAGTACATACCGGATGGTGCCAAGAGCATCACTATCAGCTTATATACATTTTCAATGATACTTGGTAGCAATAGTCTCAGTTTGGCTATAGGAGGTAGACAAATTAAGGACACTGACCTAATTCTCATAGAATTTCTTTTAATTTATTTCTTTTTCTGAGACAAGGTCTTATGCATCCCAGGCTGGGCTGAGGATAACTTTGAACTTCTGATCCTCTTGCCAAGTTGAGTTTATAAGCATGCATTACCATGGTTTATGAAGTGCTATGAGTTTAACCCAGGGTCTAATGCAAGCTCAACAAACTAAGCCACATACCTAGCCAGCATCTCTCTGCTTTGCTTTTTGATTTTTTTAAAAATTTTTTTGTCTTTCTGAGACAGGGTCTTCCCTGTAGCCCCAGCTGGCCTGGAACTGACAGAGATCCTTCTGCCTCTGCCTCCCAAGTGCTGGGATCAAAGGTGTGCGCCACCAAGAGAAAAGTTTATTTAGTATACTTCAAAGATCAGCGGGCCAGGAGTAACAAGAATACCACTTGCAGTCCTTATAGAACTTCTGATTTTTCATGAGTTATAAAAAAAAGAATATCCAAAGCAAGCAGTGGTTTCATGATAAAGGTTGACTGGCATTAAAAGTTTAAAATCAGTTAAGGTAACTTTAAAAGATGGGACAAACTTCAGTGAAGAATAACTGCTAGAACTGTGTCCTGGAGAATGAACAGACTCTCTCAGGGGCAGAATGAAGCCAGGCTACCAGGAAAAAGGCAAGAGCAGGTGTGAAGGTTCAGGGTGAGACAGGCAGAAGTGTGACTGGATAAATGGCTTATTCATTTATACAACAAGCACAAACCCAGAACTAATCTTTTGCTAGGTATTATGCTGACTGAGACAGAGGAGAAAAATAACAATCTTTGTCTTAAAGTGGTAGGAGACAAAATACTAGACTACGAGAAGCAGGAGCATGCATGCAGCTGGCGACCTTCCCCAGTCCAGACTTTGACACATCATTTGCAATTAGTTGCCAACTTCTTCCCTATCCAAGGCTGGCAAATGTTCATCTTTCAGCACCAGTCCTTTCCCTTCCAGAAACTCTTCCTTGGGTCTATCCCTGATTCTTTGATAGAAGGAAGTCATTCTTTACTGTGCTCCCATAATCCCTGTAAAAATATTTAACTTGCCATTTGATTGACTTATACTACAGAGGCCGTGTACAATTCATCTTTGTAACCCTGCACTTAGCAAAGGGCACTGGCTATAGTTACTGAATAATGTTTTATAAATGGCTCATACGGAAATATACAAGCATGATTTAGTTTTAACACAGTAGCACCACTCCAGCGGAGCAGACCCCTCAAGTCAAATAATCTACAAGTAGACTGAAATAATCTCTGAAAGCAAGATCTCTTTCTTCCTTTTGTAAGTTTGGACAAATTTAGATAAATGAGTAACCAAAAGGAAAGGAAGGTAAAACAGCAGAAGAAAAAAGTAACTAGCAGTAGATAAGTCAAAGGCAGAGTGAAGTGCTGACAGGATTATTTATGAGAAAAGATATTCCATTACGCGCTCCCCTAGCACAAAACCATGGCGCCGCTGCCCTGAAAGCGAACAGGAAAGGTCTAAGGAACTCCGGCACTATAGACTGTGAAGCTCTGTGTTTAAAGGGAGCTAGGACTAAGAGGAGTCACCCCACAAGTTCCCCAATGCTAAAATGCTGTGGTGAAAGAAGACCTAATTAGTAATCGCTCCAAAACAATCCTGTCCTAGGGTCTGAGAGCCAGTCCCAAGGTGACAAGAGACAAGAAAAGAGGTGCAGCATGCAATTTACTAGGGACTTAAAGACAGAAGTGTGGTCCTGGGCAGCACCAAGATCAGGGGATCGCCAGTGAATACATGTGCAATTCTAAGGTCTGTCCCCCTCTTTCTTTGGTGACACAGAACCTTGGGGCCAGTTCTCATAGCCTGGCATCAGGATATTTCAGACTAGCAATCTCTAAAGATGGACAAAACTGCCAGAAAATCTCAGAAATGTCAATAACTCACATATGTCAATAACTATCTGAGTAGTTCATCTTTACAAGCGTATTTCCCACAGAGTCTAGGAGAGGCACTGCTTCCCTGCGTGTGGCTCTGTAGGCGGGGGTGGTGTACTCACTTTGCTGCAGCTCTTCTTGTCTTTTTCTTCTGGGGTACTTCATCCTGGGGCGCTGCTTCTTCCTCTACCTCTTCACCTTGTCCAGCAGCAGGCTCTTCGTCCACGTCCTCTGCCACCGCTCCTCTGCCTTTTTTGCATAGATCCTGGGTTGGAGCCACCTGTAGATCTGCTGGGTAATACTCATTGCTGTAAAAGGAAGAGGGTGGAAGCAACACAGGTGAGGAGGGCACTTGTCATGGTGAGTGTGAGTATGGATTAGTGGAGTCACCTATGGTGTGTGGAACCACACGGTCAAGAGACTGAGGGACCGTGGGAGCTTTGTCTACACCAGCAATCCTTTTTACTTAGTTTCTCATTGACATGTCAATCACTAACCAGCCCCATATTTCCCTCCAGGCTCCACTTGATTACAAGAACTCACTGGTTCTGCTGTTCTTCTCCAGCTCTCTAGAGCTCACTGAATCAGGCCTTCCTCCCCGCCAGATTAACCAAAGATCTATGTGTCATTCTGGTAAGGTCACCTCTGAAGTCAATGACCAATTCTTGTTCTTCATCTGACTGACTTACCAGACAATACCTCATCTTTCTGATCCAACTGACTGCCCTCTTTCAGATATTTTATCTTAAAATTTTTTTAATTTATATTAAATATTAATTTTATATATATGAGGGCTTTGCCTACATGTATGTAAGTGTACCTGTGTCATGCAATGCTCTCATAGGACAGAAAAGGGCACTGGTTCCCCTGGAATTGGAGTTACAGATGGTTGTTAGCCACCATGTGGGTGCTGGGAACTGAACCTGGGTCCTCTGGATGAACAGCCAGTGCTCTCAACCACCGAGTCATCTCTCCAACCCTATTTTCTTTCTCTTTAAACTAAGGTGATGCTGTTTCTTAAAGGAAAAACTTGGAAGTCCATTTCCAGGTCTTGGCTCTTCTATCACTCTCCGTGACTTCCTTGGCTGGTTCCTTCTCCCTCCCACATTCACCCCTCAGTGATCTCATTCTATGTCAGATGACTTTCAGTACCATTCATATACTGATGATTCTCAATTCATCATCTCGAGATCGACCCCTTTCCCTTGAACTTAATTTCTAAACTGCATGCCCACTTGTCATTTCTCCTTGAGTATCTATTTAGTGCCTTCAACTTAACATGTCATCAAATGAATTCTTGATACTCCCCACAAATCTACAGCTTCTGTCCAAGCTCAGTAAGTAAACAGTAATTTTCCTCTCCTAGTGCTCAGACTAAAATCTCCTTCCTGTTCCTGACAACAACCCTCTACCCTCAATCCTCAAACAACACAAGCTAATTTGGTTGGAATTCTCCTAAAACATATTTTATCAAATTAAAATCCTTCAAAAAAATCTCTATCTATACCACTTAGAAATGTGGTCAGATCACTGGTGACTCTTGCCCACACTTGCACCTTCCTCCTGACAGGTCTCCCATCTCTCACCACTGCTGTTCCACTGCCTGTTTTCAAAACAGTAGCCAGAAGTTCTTGAAACTGAGTCATTTCATCCTTCTGCTTACACTTCCCAGTAGCTTCCCATTTCTCTGACAGTAAAGGCCAAACTACTGATTGCCCACAATGTTAGCTTTCTGCTCTGTTCTCCAACTACTTCTCCTTGGATCACTGCAGTAGCCACCCAAACTGCCTTGCTAGTCCTCACACAAGCCAGGCAGGCTGTGGTTTATGGCCTGCTTGATCTAACCCTACAGCATCTTCTCACATAATGAAATATTACTGGAAAACACTTTTATTGTTTAATTCTGTCCTGCACCACTGTTAAGTTTTACAGCAATCAAGATTTTCATACAGTCAAAACAAAACAAGGCTCCAGAAAGATCTTGCTATTCTTTCAGAGTACATCCCTCAGTTTCATAAACTATCGAGAGCTCAAACTAGTTCTGCTTAGGTCACTGAAAATATCTCCCACTCCCAGGCAAGAAATCAAACAATGAACAATAGGTAAGAAGTAATAAGGCCTTTGTGCACTGATCAAAGTCAACATGGACCCTCTTCTTTGGTAACCTCAACTATTTTTATTAGCACTATTTGTATGTTAACTCATATAAAACTAAATGTTGAACAAAACTAATCAGTTTAACCTGACAGAGGCAGTGCTTTGCAGACATGACAACGCTTGCAAACATGACAGATATACAAAGTACTCAGCCAGTTTGAGAGGTTAATAATATCACCCCTGTTCTACATCCTCTACCAGGGACATATGCGTACAAGAAGGCACTTACTTGATAAATCTCAAGAAAAGTGGGGAGAGTTCCCTGGACCTTGGTTCTATTCTTTCTGGAAATTTGGCCAGAGCTCGCCAAAGCAAGAATCGAAAGTTGGTATGGTCCAGTCTTTCACGACAATCAGTTTTCAATGCTAACTGCTTCTGGTAAAGAGCCCCAATGTCTCCTTCCTGGGTTTGGTCCCAACTTTCATCGCCAATGGACTGCCCTTCATCTCTTATGTCCTTCTGCAGTTCTTTCTCTGCAAGAGAAAAATGTCACCTAAACCCCAATATTATGTTAACACTGCCCTATTTCCTCAAGACAGGACATTTCTTTCTGAATGGAATATAGTAAACCATATCAAAAGTTTATCAGATAATACACTTCTTGTGTTTCCCAGTTTCATGCATATTTACACAGTAAAAATTAATAACCACCCACGCCCCCAGCTCCCCAAAATCCCCACTCATACCAGCATGTGTAGCTGCCTTTTCTAGATGCTCATAGTAGACTTTCCAAAATTGCTTATTTTCCATTTCATGGGCATGAGAACTAAGAGAAAAGATCGTAAGATATGTGCTATGACATGGACTTTTGTGTGAGACATCTCATTACAGAAACATACAAGAATATAACTAAAATGTTGATTTGATTAGCCTTCTAAATGAGGTTAAAATAAATTTCATACTTTTCTGTAGTTTTCAAGTTGCCTACACTGCACAAGTTAATTTTTAAAACGTGTTTTACTGTGTGATTGTGTAAGTGTACATGTGTATGAGCACAAATACCAGTATACTGCCACACAGACATTGGGTCCAGGCAACGGGGCAACTTTTGCAAGTTAGATAACTTTGAGACTCAGTTCTTCCTTCTACTATGAGATGTCTGTGAATTGAACTCGGGTCATGATGCTTGTACAACAAGCACTTTTACTTGCCGAGTCATCTTACCAGTCTATACTATTTTTAATAGTCATAAAAGACTACAGAATATTTTTTAAAAGATAAGTGGAAGACCCATATAATATTTTTTTGGTTTTTTTGAGATAGAGCTTAGGCTGGCCTGGAACTTACTATGTAGCTAAAATTCACAGTTCTGCTGATCCCACCTCTGAGCGTGAGGATACAGACTATCAGACCTATTTAGGAAGACCTATTTAGAAAGAGTATTTTTAAAGGCACAGAATGGAAAAAGAGAATGGTATATGAAATATGTTCCATCAAGGAAAGGAGGTCCCTAGAGAGAAAAATCTCACAGCATTTGAAGGTAGATTAAAAAAAACACAAAAACGTATTTCCCTCCACTTCATTAGCTACTTGAAATATACTTCATAGAACTTAATGATGGGACTGACATGAATCATAGATTTTTTTAGTTTGAAGTCCCAAGAATATTTTCAAGTTTTCTACTTCTGGCATTAGTTTGCATTTTATTTCTTTCCTTTCTCCCCATCCCTTTCCTTCCTCCACTTCTTACTGCTCCTCCTCCCCATCTCCTTCCCCCTTCACCATGAGACAGGGTCTGGCTGTGTAGCTCAGGCTACCCTCAAATTTGTGACCCTTCTTGCTTCAGCCTCTTGAATGCTGGGACTACAAGTGTACATCCCTACACCTGGCTTACTAGTAATTTTCTAATAATATATAAACTTTATATTAAACACAGAAACTATATATACATCAATTTTATACTACATATGAGAATTATGTATGTTGTATACTATACATGGAAAACAAAGTTCCAAACAAAAAGATGTGCCCAACAGTAGATAGTCCTGTCACTGGGGAAAGCCATTAAAGGCATTCAGTAAAGCCAAACTTTGTGATAATGGGTCACTGATTACACATGTCACTTCTTGTCTTTTGAAGGTACCAAAAAAAAAAAAAAAAAAAAAAAAAAAAAAAAAAGAGAGAAAAGAAAAAAAGAGAAAAGAAAAAACAAGTGTGTTTTGGTTTGGCTTAGTTTAGTTTAATTTGGTTTGTTTTGGTTTTCAGGCAGGACTGGATGGCTGGTTAAGATGTTTCTCCCCCTCTGTGACTTATTTGAGATGAGCTCTGCTAATAATTTCCTTTGTTGTGACAAAACTTGAATTAATCTATCTCTCTCTCTCTCTCTCTCTCTCTCTCTCTCTCTCTCTCTCTCTCTCTCTCTCTCTCTCTCTCTCTCTCTCTCTCTCTCTCTCTCTCTCTCTCTCTCTCTCTCTCTCTCTCTCTCTCTCTCTCTCTCTCTCTCTCTCTCTCTCTCTCTCTCTCTCTCTCTCTCTCTCTCTCTCTCTCTCTCTCTCTCTCTCTCTCTCTCTCTCTCTCTCTCTCTCTCTCTCTCTCTCTCTCTCTCTCTCTCTCTCTCTCTGTACCATGGTTTTTTTTTAAAGAAAAAAAAAAAAAAAAAAAAAAAAAAAAAGAAGTCAAAAGGCACTTGTTTTCAGTATACTTGTTGGTTACTCTAAAGGGCTATAAAAGGCAGGCATATTATTTCAGAATTTGAAAGGATTTGTTTGTGTCTGTCAAGTAGGAACTAAAAGGATCGGGACAGGCATGGAACATGACATATACCAGCCTGACAAAAAGCCAGAGCAAAGCACTGAAGACAAACATCTGAAAAAGGCACGTCTATGCCTCAGAGCATATGCATCTTCCATGTGACCAAAGGGCTATAAAAGGCAGGCATATTATTTCAGAATTTGAAAGGATTTGTTTGTGTCTGTCAAGTAGGAACTAAAAGGATCGGGACAGGCATGGAACATGACATATACCAGCCTGACAAAAAGCCAGAGCAAAGCACTGAAGACAAACATCTGAAAAAGGCACGTCTATGCCTCAGAGCATATGCATCTTCCATGTGACCACTAAACTCCTTTGTTAGAGATAAAGGGACTTTTATACTACACAGCAAGGGCTTTGAAAAGTCCTTAGTTGTAAAGTATGGTTCAGTGACTCAACACAGAAATATAAAAGTCTATAATGATCATAATATACCTTTTTGTTGTAAGCGATTTCAATAATATAGAAGTATCATATACAGTAAAAAGAAAACCCTTGTTATTTCAGTGCATAGAAACATACATATAATATCTGAACTGCTGAAACACAAGCACCAGGGACAATGTTTAGTTTTCTTCTCTTCACCTTGTTTGACACCCATTCACTTATATCATACCTAAAGGGAATATAGTCCCTGGTGCCATCATCCACTTAGGCCATGCTTACCTTATGAGTTCAATAACAGGATCCCAGAGGGCACTAAAGTTGATGTACAGCATGCCTAACAAATAACGAAGCGGCACCTGTAATGCCCAGAAACTTTAGTAAACACACAACAGGCTACAATAGAAAGGTGGAACACAAGTGCTCAATGCACATCCCAGCCTGAACAACCTGAATTTGGAAAGAATCTTGCATTTACAAAAAAATGGTTTTAGGTATTAACCCCAAAATCAGTGTATAGTAATTACCTCCATCTCCTAAAATCTCAACTCACAATCACTACAACAAACATAGTACTCAACTCATTCCAGATGTTCACACACAAAGTGCAAATCTAACTAGAATTAAATTTTATCCTAACAAACACTGCCATGATAAGACAGAATCTGAAGAGCATCAGTGAAGTGCAGATGCTACGAACTCAGGAACATGTTCTGTGAATGGCGGCTGAGGCTCCTGTACAAGCAGATGTCTGAGTTCTTAAAATTATACTTTAAAAGTCCAGTTCAGGGGACCTAAAGTTTTCTCAGTCAACTTTTACAGTGATACTCTTTGTTACCAACATGTCCCGTTCCAGGAAGTGCCATGTAGAAGAGCATTTTTATATTTACTTGGGTATGAAATGCTGGTATCTTCTAGTTGTAGTCTCTGTTCTAAGTGAAATGAAGGAGGATGTTGATGTTTAAACAGGTAAGAACAAAACTGAATGAAAGAGGAATGCCTTCCTGTGGCATTGTTCCTAAAAGATCCATGGCAGATTTTCAAGGGTCATGGACTGAAAACCCCTGGTACAAAACATGGGGTCAATGTCCTGGAACAGTGAACAAACTTGGTGAAGAATATAAGGCGTTAAACCTGGCCCGGCGTCCTCCCTCACTGGGGTTCAAGGGGCCCTCTTTCTCATTTGTCAAAAGGGACTAATGCTGCCCACACCTTGTTGAGAATTGAATGAGATTACAGATGGAAAAGGATTGTGTATGAAAGATCATGTTGTAAATTATGAAGTACAATTCAAATGCAAGTCGTTCTTTTCTAGGCTGATTGAGTTTGTGTGTATAAAATGAACTCACTGCTTAAACTTTTAATGGAAACTATTTGGGTAGTAATTTACTGAGGCAGTGGACCACAGTAGTTAAAAGCATGAACACTAATTCAGAATATATTGATTTGAACCCTAGTTCCACCAGCTAGATGCTGTTATGACCTTGGGCAAACTACTGAGGCTCCCTGTGTCTCAGTTTTCTCTCAGTAAAATGACCACATCCAGCTCCATGGCCTTTTGCATAGCCCCTAAACCCAGTGAGAAACCACACCTGCATTTTAAAATGCTGTTTCTCAAAGAGACTGCCATAAAGTAACATGCAACTTGCTCTTTCTTGGAATGACAAGGGTAGATATCAGGATCAACATTAATAACTTCTTTTTATTTTTTTGGTCTTTTTGAGACAGGGTCTCCTTGTAGCCCCAGCTGCCCTGGAACTCACTATGTAGACCAGACTGGCCTCAAGCTCGGGAGATCCACCTGCCTCTGCCTCTGGGACTAAAGGTGTGTGCCACCACGCCCGGCTCAGTAACTATTTTATTCTGATAAGTATATTTTTCCTTGTATATTTTAGAGGCAATGTAAAAAGTTGTTTGTTTTTATTGCTACTTACTTCATGGTCATTCTCTGAAGGCTAAACACAGTTTCTCTGAACATAGCCACCGCCAATTTTGAAAACTGGTGGCCATAGAGACCATTATAACATGAAGTAGACTTTGATACGGAAGGATTACATTTTCTTAGACTACTTTCAGTGGATTTAATGGATATTTTTCTTTCTAGGTGGTTGCCTAGGAACCAAAAAAAAAAAAAATCCTTCCTGGGAGCTCAAGAGATGGCTCAGCAGTTAAGAGCACTGGTTGCTCTTGCAGAGGACCCAAGTTCGGTTCCCAGCATCCACATGGCAGCTAACAACCATCCTCAAGCCCAGTTCCAGAGGATCTGGACTTCTGTGGGCATTGCATGACATAGGTGCATTTACATACATGTAGGCAATACGCTCACACACATAAAATAATAAAAAAAAATTTTTTTTAAATCCTTCCTGTGTTTTAGTCATTTTGTTATGATGTATCCTGAATTGGTAATTTTAAAACAATCTAATAAAGAAAATTATAAATTATGCCCTTAGAAAGGTAGTAGGAAAATCAAACAAAATATTTTATTTTTCCATGAATAAATTTCTGCTGAAAACTGTGGAGTGGGGCACTATGCTCAGATGATTAAATCATGGCCTACATCCCTTAAAGAATATATAATCCAGGGCATTCATTACAAGGAGAGAAAAGAAGACCAGGATCGCTATCTACTGATAATCAATGATTAGAACAATCACCTTTATACATCAACAACAGGATGGCTGAAGGAGGATGGGAGAGAGCACAGAAGGATCATGGAGCCAACATCATCCACACTCTCGACTCCACCCATCTGCAGTCCCCTAAGTAAACTACGTGCTCTCAGCTCTTGCTTCCTTTGCAGATGTCCTTCCTCTGGAATGGGACATTCTCACCTCCTTCAAGATACCTAAACTTCACCCTCCAGAAACCCTTCTTCACATATTCTTCAGCACTTATCAAAGAACATACCATATAACAGATGGGATCCTCCCATCTTGTCCTTGACCCTGTGGTCTTTTTGAAGGTGGGAGTTGTTTTTTTCTTGTTAATTTTATCATCAGCACCCAGCTATAGGTAATGAATAATGTTTGATGCAAGATTAATTGCAATGACCATAACACCTACCATAAAGTGCTTAGAAAGAGCCACATTTTGTCCTGGGATTTTATATTTATCTCATATAATCCCTAGATCAAACTAGTAGGCTACAGGCTATTTTTCCTATAATTTCAGAAATAAGGAAACTGAGTGAGCAGTTCTAGGCTCAGTAAATGATGGAGCCCGTCTTTAATGGTGGTAATCCTGAGTATGCTACCTAAATTGCCGTATGATGGTGCCACGGGCCAACAGATCAGCTGTTCTTGTATTTCAGCCATTTCTGCAACTTAACCCCACACCTGTCATTTATGCTCTAAGCTTTAAAGGTTTTTTAAAGGACAAAACCTGAATTTTAGAGCTGTTCAGTCAGCAAAGCTGGTTTGCTTTTCTTTCTGAGGGTGAGGTACTTGATGGTTTACAAAATTAACCAAGTCACTGGAGTTTAACGCTAATGACAACTGCTAAAAGTGAAAGAGCATGTTTAAAAATGCTTAGATGCTGTGTACTGGGTAAGAACACCAGAGATACCCCAAGTTAAGACGGTCATTAAGTGCTTCACACCTTCACATACTCAAAGAGGACATTTGATTAATTAATGGGCTGACAACACTGTTTAATTTCAAACAGCACTGGGGGTTAGGTAGGGGATAGGTATAGAGACAGGAGCCTACATTGCCTTATTTTACAAGAACATTTCTGTTGTTGATAACTACATGGTACAATCTTCCAACCTAGATTTGAAACATAAAATTAAGGAGAAATGATTTTAAAAGGAAAAAAAAAAAAAAAAAAAAAAACAAAACCTCTATTTTACCTCCTGCAATGGTCCTTGAGGGACTGCATCCTGCACCACGTCGTGCCTCAGCCTTCTCAAGTGAAGAAGCTTTTCTCTGTAATCGCTCACAGTTGCTGGGACAAGTTCTGCCTGGCGTAATATAGCAAAGGCTGACTGCCTCTCCAAGAGCCCGTCACCCTAAACAGCCAGACAAAAGCCAGAAGTTAGACTGTGATTTCCCAAAAAGAACATGAAGCATGACTAAAGGACGTTCAGTTGTTGCTGTTTTCAGACAGGCTTTCACTATGCAGCCACGGTTGGAGTGGAACTCACTAGGTAGAGCAGCATGGTCTCGAACTCACTAAATTTTATGGTTACTGCCTCTGCCTCTTTAGTGCTGAGATTAAAAGCCTGTACCACCATGCCTAGTTTGAAGGCTCTTTAAAACAAGGAAAGAACCTAGAATATGTTAATATTTTAAATAAATAATACCTTTCTTTGGGTAACAATTCATTTTTCCTTACACCATTTATTTTTGATAATTTAGGCTTAATGCTTAGCACAGAGATGGAAATAAACAGGAGGGGCTGGGGACATGGCTCAGTCAGGAAAGTGCCTGCCATGCAAACATGAGGACCTGAGTTCAGATCCCAAACACCCATGTAAACAGTCAGGCATGGTTCTATGCACCTATAACCTGGCACTAGGGCTTAGGTGGGGGATGCGTAGAGACAGAAGCCTACAACCCAGCACTGGGGCTGAGGTGGGGGATGGGTACAGAGACAGAAGCCTACAACCCAGCATTGGGGCTGAGGTGGGGGATGAGTGTAGAGACAGAAGCCTACAACCCAGCACTGGGGCTTTGGTAGGGGATGGGTACAGAGACAGAAGCCTACAACCCAGCACTGGGGCTGAGGTGGGGGATGGGTATAGAGACAGGACCCTATAACCCAGCACTGGTGCTGAGGTGGAGGATGGGTGCAGAGACAGGACCCTATAACCCAGCACTGGTGCTGAGGTGGAGGATGGGTGCAGAGACAGGACCCTATAACCCAGCACTGGTGCTGAGGTGGAGGATGGGTGCAGAGACAGGACCCTATAACCCAGCACTGGTACTGAGGTAGAGGATGGGTGTAGAGACAGGAGCCTACAATCCAGCACTGGGGGTCCAGGTGGGGAATGGGTAGAGACGGGCCCATCCTTGGAGCTCATTGACTGGCCAGTGTGGCTGAGACCAGGAGTTCTAGGTTCAGTGAGAGACACTGCCTCAAAAGCTAAGTTAGAGAGCCACAGAAGAAGACACCCAACACTGACCTCTGGCCTCCATGTACATGTGCACACATCCACTCCAATACATATAAACACCAGGAACACATAAAGTAAACAGGAAAGGAATTCTCTAAAGGATGCAAAATGATTAGCAGTATCTACTAAAGAAAGCATGTGTAGTTTCACTGTACATTTCTATGTCTGGTAATCTGCATGATGGCAAGAGTTTGGTACAAGAAGATAGCCATCTAAGGAGCTTCGCCGCAGCGCTGGAAAAAGTTAAGTAAAAACCTACCGAACTATCCATTAACAGGAAAGTTGGTAAGATTTTGCACTCTACGATACTACTCAAGTTCAAAAGAAATGATAAAGGCACTGATACAGAAAATGTCCACGGTAACACTGGTTTAAATATGTATGTCTACTCACAAGATTACAAAGAACATTCATGAAAGATTTTTCAGTAGCAGTCTAGGTGGCAGGTAGGACTAGGAATTCAGAACTACCCATTTTTGTAATAGGTATTTATATAGTATGCAAGTTTCCTGCAAAGACCAGTTTGGAAATTAAAAGGTACATAAATTATACATACACATCTCTCTCTCTCTCTCTCTCTCTCTCTCTCTCTCTCTCTCTCGCTCTCGGACTTTTTGAGACAGGGTCTCCCTGTAGCTCCAACCGGCCTGGCACTCACTATATAGACCAGGCTGGCCTCAATCTCACAGAGATCCACCTGCCTCTCACTCCCAAGAGCTGGGATTGAAGGTGTGCACCACTACGCCGGGCTGTAAATTGTTTTTAAGAACTATCCACTCAATTATATTACCTCCATCAAAACTGGAAGCCCAATGTCAAAATGGTTTAGAATCCTTATTGTCAAAAGCCGAATCTAGAGAAAGCAAAAGGGAAATTCAAACTGTACAGTGTAAGTGAAGGAAGAAACTCATAGTGACATCTAAGTTCTACAAAATTAAGAAAAAAAGAGTGTATCATTAAAGCAAAACATGCCTTTCCTCTTCCTTGATTCAAACCCAACAATGACCAACACCAATTCAATAATAACTGGACTAATGATCAGATCAGACCGAGGGCAAGGCAGTACAACATGCCATCATTTGTTTTCACCATGACAGTAATGAATGCCTGGACCTAAGTTTACAGTTCAACTGAAAACAGTGACTTATATACGTCAGTAACACAAGTATTTCCACACACTTCAAATTCAGAAATGTTATCTTTATTTTGGGGGTCAGAAACATACTAAAAGAACACATGAACATGTGCAGACATGATTAAATAAGAATTCTACTAGTTTTTAGTTGTAAGAGACAAGCAAGTTGCTCACCTACCAGTATAAGCACCATTTTCTAATCCATAAAATGTACAGTATCAAAGGCTTTTGTAATAGATTTATTCAAATAACTATACTTAAGGAGTATATAATTTAAAAAAATTAAAAGTTATTCTTTGGTTCAACTAGATTTTTTTTGTCCTAACCCTACTGATTCATAATCTTCGCAGGTGTTACCCTAGAATTTGTCATTTTAGGGGCTGGAGAGATGGTTCAGTGGTTAAGAACACTAACTGTTCTTGCAGAAGACCTGGACTTAAATCCTAGCACCCACATGGCAGCTAACTGTCTGTTAACTCCAGTTCCAGGGGATCCAACAGCCTTTTCTGTGCCCCGCAGGCATTGCACGACATGGGTGCACTTACCTACATGCAGGCATAACGCTCATACACATAAAATAAAAATAATATTTTAAAAAAGAATGTCATTTTACTGATCTCCCTAACTAACCCTGCTACAACCAGTGTGTGGCCAGTGTTGAGTGTTTAGTAATCACTGGTGTAAAGGAAGACCCCCACGGTAGCACTTTCCGATAAGGGAGCTTGGGTGGCCACAGGCAGTACAAATGGAAACAAAGGGAGACTGAGGGCGTATCACACAACAGTATTACCTTAGAGACGCCAGTGGAAATGTTTGGCTGTAACTTGGGAAATAATTCCAGTAAAGCTTCCTCAGAGAGTGGTCCTTTGCAGCCACATAAGGCTAGCCTCTGATAATAGAGATCAGCCAACAGCAACACAGACGGCTCAGACGGAAATGTTCTGCAACAAGATACTTATAAGACCCAAACTACACCACACAGTTCAGAGCAGAGATGATTATTTGAGCTACCAAAGCATCTTGCTGATAAGAGAAATACAAAGGCAGCAGGCAAGTTGTATAGAGATAGTGACATTTTATAGAGGAGGAGGCCTAGCAGGTGAGCGATGTGCTCAGGCATAACCCGCTGGCAGTAGACGTGGGATCAGAATAGCCAATGCTGCCATGCCAATCCAGAGCTCAAAGCGACAGCCACATAAGGAGGGCATGCAGTATTTGCTAAGTGCATGTCAGGCACTGAGCTGATGAGGGGAGCAGCACAGTGGGCTCTGGGTGGGGTAGTCCAGGTCCAAACCCTGCCCCGTGACACGCCTGGACATGCTGCTGACCCTCTATGCGCCATCTTCATTCAACAGATATGGACTAAAAGCCTAATGTATGCCAGTGGCTTTTCTAGACATGGTGGAGAGAACAGTACATTAAAGATAAAGTTCTTATTTTCCCAGAACTTACATCCTAGAAGGAACCAATGAGTAAAACGAATAACTATTAAGTAGGACAGTGCAAGTGCTGTGGAGAAAAGCAATCAGGGGAAGGAGGCTTCAGGGAAGAGGCAGGCAAGGAGAGGGTGGAGAGCAGGCGACCAGGGGGAGTCTGGAACGTATTTGATGCCGGTTAATTATGGAAAGCAGAGCTGGATGACAGAAAAGTGAGCTTCAGGGAGTCTAAAAGGAAAGCATTCTAGGTAGAGGAAGAGTTAGGTCAAGAGCCAGCTTGAAGCATGCTTGTCCACAGGAACATCAGAAACCAGTGCTGGGGCCAAGTGAACAAAGAAGTGTGGCTGATGATATCAGAAGTCACTAGGGATTAGATCAGAATCCACAGGAACATATAAAGATTTTAGACTTTATTCCCAGTGAAGGGGGTGACCACAAGATCAGGGCTGCCCAACAACATTAGCATTCTGGGTAGGAACCCTTTACCAGGGCTGCTTATGCACTGTACACCGCTTAGCCTCAACCCACCAGAAACCAGGGACAGCCCTCAATGATGGATCTATGCTTCTTCCAGAATCAGAAGCTGGCCAAAATAAACATGAGAAACAGAAAACCAAACTGGACTGTTTCGTTATATAGCAAAAAGACTAGGAAGTTTTCTGAAATGCAGATCACACCACAGTGGAGCAGACTATGAAAGAGGGAGGAACACGAGTTGGTCATTAGAGATCAGCAGAGGCAAACCACTGACTAACACGTGCAAAGCCTTGGGTTCGATTCTTAGCACCACAAAAATGAATGAATCAGTCAATTGAGCTGGCACTATAGCTCTTTATAACCCTAAATTTATGCTAATAATAAAATATCCCTTTGCAACGATGAATATGTACTTAGTCTGTCCAAAAGGTTTTCTTTTAGTTGGAGGATCCAAACAGACATAAATTGTACTAAGTGACTATAACTGAGGAATGACAGATTACAGTTCTACTATAAGCAAGACTTCACAAAAACAGAGCTTTTTATATTTTGTTCATTACTAGGCCAAATGGAAGGCATTTACTTACAATACTAAATTCTTGATACGTTCCACAGGAACCAAATGAAGGAGTTCAGAAGACTCTTCCAAACTTAGTAGAGTATTTACAGCTTGACAGAGGACAAATAAGTTTCCTAAGGGCAGAAAAGAAGGAACAGCACATTATTTATGTCTCTGTCATAACTGAGAAACATCCCATGTACCCCAAATCTATCACTCATAGAAAGTTCATTAAAATAATCAGTTTTAAAAGAATTACATGTCAAGCCAGGCATGGTGGCTCATGCCTTTAATCCCAGAACTTGGGAGGCAGCGGCAGGTGGATCTTTGTGAGTTTGAGCCAAGCCTGGTCTACATAGTGAGTTCCAGGCCAGCTGGGGCTACAGGAAGACCCTGTCTTAAAAAAAAAAAAAAGTTATACATCAAATATAACACATATTCAGAAGAAGAGAATACAAGTTCATGTGCCATTAACTAAGACAAGCAATAAGAACAGGTCAGGCATTCCCAATACAAAATTTCTGTGCACTCCCATGACGTGAGCTCACATGGTTTCGGATTCTGAAGCTATTTAGATTTTAGAACTTTTGATTCGGGATATTAAACCAGTGAAATATAGGCATGTTTCAAAATCTAAGAAACTCAGAAATCGGAAACATTTTTGGATCCCAAGCATTCAAAAGCTAAATTAGCTTTATATAAAACTCATGCTAATAGTAAGCCACATATTCAACAGCTTTTCTGCAACAAATGTTCGATTAATATTAAACAGTGATTTAATGTTTAGCCTTAGGACCAGCACACAGTGGCCCAGAAGTCAGATCTGTAGGGCAGCCCGTTTTCTGTTTGTTTTTCAGACAGGGTCTTGTTATTTAGTTCATGCTGGCCTTAACTGTTGGGCCATCCTGCCTCAGTCTCCTGAGTGTTAGGATTATAAACATTTCACACTGTATCCAACTGGCAGCCCATTTTTATACGGCCTATAAGCTAAGAAAGTCTTGTTTTTTCTTCTACATTTCTAGAGCTGAGAAAAAAATTTTAAAGAATATGTCGAAAAAATAAGATGTGGTCTTCAACCTTAAAATTGGGTCATCCAGACGGCTCTGGGTAAGATGACTTGGCTTCATAAGCCTGATGACTTACATTCAATCCCTGCGGCCTATGGTGAAAGGAGACTACCAACTCCTGGTCAGTGTTTTATCACAGCAAAAGAATGCAAACTAACAGACATGGCCACTGAGTACTTGAGATACAGAAGTCTACTTTATTTTGATGTTTGCTTAATGTCTAATGCACATTAATACTTCTGCAAATGATTAAACCACTATGTGTATAGGTTAGGAGAAAATACTGTGGTAGGAAAAATAAAATACCTGCTCTTAAATTGCTGCCCTTAGGCTTTGAGGGAGATGGACAGCAGGTAGTGGGGCTTGGGGCAGGGCAATCTATTTTGGCCTCGAAGAGCAAGAATGCCTGAACTGGGGCTGGAGAGATGGCTCAGCAGTTAAGAGCAATGACTGCTCTTGCAGAGGACTCAGGTTCGATTCCCAGCACCCACATGGTGGCTATGAACCATCCTTAACTCCAGTTCCAGGGGAATCCAAAGCCCTCTCTGACCTCCGTGGCATTGCACAACATGGATGCACTCATATACATGCAGGCAATATACTCATACATATAAAATAAAAATAAAATTAAATTAAATATTAAAAAAAAAAAAGAAGAAGGCCTGAACTGACTTTTGAAGGATAAGCAAAAGAGCATTGAAGGACAAACTTAGAGTGGTCCTTAGACAGAGGGAACACACATGCAAAGGCATTAGGTCTTCCTCAGGGTGAGCAAATGAGGTGGCTCAGAGCAGAAGCCATATCTCAGGGTTAGGGAAGGCACAACAGTCAGTCAGGACTCAAAACAAATGGTGTTCCAGGACGTGACAGCCTCTAGATACCTGACTTTCCTTATGTTCAAGCTACTTTGACGTGCTCTATGGGGTACAAGTGACAACACGCCCATCTTATTCTCTATTCTGCCCACACTTATCACACAGGGAGTTACATCAGAATGCATTCTCTGGCATTACATGTGTTTACGTCTTCTTTGGGTAGACCAGGAAAGACTGAAACAAGAACATGTGGTGACTGTGACTGACCTTTTCCAAAGCTCCCTTTGTCAACAGTCATGAGGAGCGACTCTATGAAGCAGGTCACTAGTGGTACCACCTTTTCTTTCTCAAGAGGTCTGTTCAAGGAGTGGGAAAAAAAGGCAAACACTCATCTTGCTGTTCAATGGTTTAATCACAGAATGGCAAACATTTTAGTCAGAATGCTAAGTACTTCTTAATACTAAAACTAAAGTTTATTTCCTTACCTGATATGAGGTAATACCACAAGGGCTGCCCAGGAATGTGAAAGGTAAGTAGAATCTCTATTGGGGGGTAACTGAATTATAGACAACAGATGGTCCAACACTGGAAACGCATCCTTTCTTCTCTTGGAGTTGGTCTTCCTCTGCTTTAAGTAGGACCTGAAGGACGAGGACAATGAAGTAGCATTTAAAACAGATGTTCCAACAGCATGGCTGGAAGGCTCCTGGGTCGTCCCACTGTCCAGCACTTGAGGGGAGGAGCTGCTGCTGGTGGTTAGATAGAAACAGACGGGGGACATTCAATGATTTGCAGTGAGAGGCTCTTCAACTCCATGTGTCTGACTTCCTTCCATTTCTATCTATCTTGCTTTGTGACTTAAACAAGCCTTTCCCAGCTGTAAGCAATATTGCCCAATTTCAAGCTGCTGAGTCTATCTTTAAGAACTGGAATGAACTGACTTCCTTCCCCCACTCCCCACTTCCTATTTATTTGCTTGAAATAGGACATTGCTATGTGCCCTGGCTGGCCTAGAACGCAGTATACAGAAGAGGCTGGCCTAGAACCTGTGGCTCCTCCTGCTTCTGCCTTCTGAATGCTAGTATTATGGGCATGAACCACCTCAAACAGTGTCCTTTCTACGTGAATTTTACTACTTCCCAAATGAAAAAATGTCAGGAAGTTGCCATGGTAGACTTGGCAAACATGACTCAAGTGGTGATTTATAAGTGATTTTCTCCCCCACTTTAATGTGACTCAAGCTCTCTATGATGTCTTCTGGCTCAGCATTTGGTTCCGGGCACCTGTTACTCTATATAGTTCTAACTAGCCCTTACTATTGCAAGTCAGAGACACAATAAGTAATAAGCCTTACAATCTATCCCCCATGGCAAGTTTAGGTAGCTTACACAACATAGTAAACTGTGGGGACTCTACTCCTATGCCCCTTTTTGTTAAAAAAAAAAAAAAAAAAAAAAAAATCAATGAAAAGCTATATTCTCTTTTGTGTCATACTTATCAGGACACCAAATGTTTGGAAATTACGACAGACAATCAAGTTACTTTAACAGCCAGTTCCTTAAAGTCATCACATTTGATATATAGTCTTTCGGGCACTAAACATGATTTGTCAATCTATAAAAATCCTACAAAATACTGCACTGATGTTAAAAAGGAGTAATTAGCTGCCTTGCTAATGTCCTACAGCTAACCCCTCCCTCAGCCTGTAGTCAGATCTTTGCAAGCTGACTCCTTCCCATCACTGCATTCCGCACAAAGTCCCCCACTCCAGAAAAGACTGGGAGACATCCCTTCCTTCCTCTCTCCTTACTCATTTGTGTCCCTCTGCACAAGAAAATTATCTCCTAAAGAGAAAACTTTCTTCTATGCACCGCTGTACTCCACCATCTGAATAACTGAGACTTAAAAATGTGTCAAATGACAGAACGAGCTTACTTCTAATGGGCATTTTCACATCAATTATCTCTTCCTACTCTCACAACAAAACTATGAGATGGGTAGATGGAATGTTACTAAAATTTTCTTTTTCTTATAAAAGACAGGGTCTTACCTCAAACTCGAAATGCGGCCTAGGCTGGTCTAAAATTTACAACACTACCATCTCTACCTCCTTGCTGGGATTATACTTCTGCGTGCGTGCGTGCGTGCGTGTGTGTGTGTCTACACATACAGATTCATGTCATGTTACTGTACACAGCTCAAACTATTTAAACATCTTCACAGGAAGATTTTAAACAAAGGTGACCATTCACATATAGGGTATCTCTGAGGAGGGCAGCAGAGGGATGTTTTCTGAGAGAAAAGAGACATGGAAGTTGTAGCACTTGGCTTGGGCTAACAGCTCTAAATTTATTTGTTTTACCGTGTATCTTTCTCAGGAGGATTAAAGAAGTATGAGTGTGAGGTGTGACCTTGGCAAAGCAATTTCACCCCATGATCCAGAACCCAGAGTTCTCGCCACCTGCAGGGAACATGCCTGCTGGAGACTGGTACAGGTCATGAACTCAAGATAGAAGGCACAAGGGAACAGCAGTTACTCATCACCCTTTGATCAAGAAACAAAGCTCAGTCAAAAAACAGACAAACAAGGCTCTGTTCAGATACATTTTGACAAATAAGCTACTTTTTTTTTTTTTTTTTTTTTTGAGACAGGGTCTCCCTGTAGCCCCAGCTGACCTGGAACTCGCTATGTAGACCAGGCTGGCCTTGAACTCAGAGATCCGCCTGCCTCTGCTCCCTAGTGCTGGGATTAAAGGCATGTGCCACCACGCCCAGCCAACAAGCTACTTTCAAAGTAGGAAGCTGGTATTAAGGAGGTAGGTTCCCCCAGAATCTCACACATCCCTATGTAAGTATGGAGACAATATCTTTTACCCCAGTGAATGCAATCAAAAGCTTAGCACAAACTCAAGAAAGTCATTCACTCCTAGTGTCTCAAAGCAAACCTCAGAGCAGCAACCAGTTCTAACAACTCCAACAGACACAAAATCAAGTTTTAAAAACAAAAGAATAGGGCCAGTGAGATGGTAAAGGTGCTTTACTTACCACTTTGCCACCAAACCTGATGATCCTCAGAATTCACACGGTAGGAGGAGAGAACCTGCAAACTGTCCTCTGACCTTAGGCATGCTACAGTGCGCGCACATGCATGCACGCACAGAAATGACAAGGGAACTGATTCCTTATTCTACAATTTCTGGAAACATAATCACTTCGCTATCTGAAACACAGTAAGCTGAGTGTATCTGTTTGTTTTTAATGCAGGTTGCTGCTACACAGCCCAGGCTGCCCTCAAACTTCCTATGCATCATATGATGCCGTCGAACTTGTGATCCTCTTCCCTAAGCCTCCTGAATGATGGAATTATAAGCACATGCTACAATGCTTGGCAAATGAACCCCTTTCCACTTTGAAAGGTTACATATTGCACTGAATAAAGGTGGGGTAGACTTGTAATTCCAGAACACAGGAGGATTATGTATTCAAGGTCATCTTAGGCTACAGAGAGATCTTATCATAAAACACACAAACACAAACATACATACACACAACAACAACACACACACACACACACACAAACATATGGAAAAGAAAAAAGTGTGTTGAGGAGGGTTCTAGACAGATGGTTCAGTGGCTAAGAGCACTTGCTGCTCTTGCAGAGGACCTGAATTCAGTTCCCAGCAACCACATGGTGGCTCCCAAATGCCTGCAACTCCAGTTTCTAGGGATCTGATACGGGATCTGATACTCTCTCTGGCCTCCCTGGGCACAAGGCACATATGTGGCTCACATATACACATGCAGTAAAATACTCAATACACATAAAATAAAAATAAATTTTAAGGAAGTTAGTTCCATGGGGAAGAATGGATTTTTCAACAAATGTTGCCAAAGCAAGTGGACAGTCAGTTGACCTAAACCTCCAACTGGACTCAACTCAAAATGAGTTAGATAGAAATGTGGCAGCAAATGTAAGTATCAAATGATATAACTTAAAAGAAGTCCTTGGTACCTAGGGCTAAGTAGTTCTTAGATCTCACATAAGCATTACTCATAAAAAGAAAACTTGAGGGGCTAGACCTCATCAAAATTTAAAACTTTGTCAAAAAACTATTAAGGGCTAGGTGTGGTGGCAGAAAAGACACCTTTAATCCCAGTATTCAATAAAAAGAGGCAGGTGGATCTCTGTGAGTCTGAAGTCAGCCTGACCTACACAGTGAGACCTAAAAAAAAAAGAAAAAAAAAAGAAAAAAAAGACTTGGAGAAGACATTTGCAAATCACAGATCTGAGTAAATGACTTTTTTCTATCTAGAATAAATAGAGCAGAACGCTTTACCATGCAAGTTGTGTCTAATACTTGGTTGGGATACAATTTCTCCTGCTAAATCTGCTAGTCTGACAAGGTTCAGCTTAATCTACACTGAAAACAATTAGAATGGATTGAGACACAAAATAACTACATTCTAAAGAGAGACTGAATGGTGGCATTTTTCTGATAGCCCAGTAAGTCCATAAAGTTTGCATGAGGATAAACTGAGGGGAGAAAGTAACCCAATTTTCTCCTTTAAATAAAAAAAGGGGTAGGTCTGGTGGCACATGCCTTTAATTCCAGCACTCAGAAGCAGAGGCAGGAGGATCTCTGTGAGTTTGAGGCCTGCCTCTGCCTCCCAAGTACTGGGATTAAAGGTGTGCACCGTGATGTGGGTACTGGGAACCAAGTCCTGGTCCTGTGCAGGAATAGTCAGTGCTCTTTAACCTCTATTTCCAGTCCCTCTTTTTTGAGGCAGGGTCTCATTATATAGCTCTGGCTGGCCTGGAACTCACTGTGTAGACTACGCTGGCCTGGAACTCAGATATCTGCCTGCCTTTGTCTCCCAAGTGGTGGGATTACAGGTGACATCATACCTAGCTCTCTGTTAAACAAAGTTAACAGGCTTTTGTCTCAGTCCATGTTTTTCATGTATTGCTTATGTACAACTTTTGTTTCAACTTTGCAAAGATCATTCCACAGACACTATGTATATGATGCCACCACTGGGCTGCTCTTTCCTGTAACACTGCATCCCAGTCATCTTTAGTTAATACATTCAAATCTTCATTTTGTGCAGTATTCTCAGAGCACTGTATTAGAAATGGGTAACCTTTTCACAGGGAACAGATTTAGAACTCACCCCACTGTCTGCTGAGAGAACACCAGAGGGTACTTTTCAATCGCCATGGAGCCAGCAGTGGGAGGAGCTGCTTTGTTCAGGATGAGCTTGGCTAAAGTGGCCAGTGCTTCTTCGTTGACCACAGAGTCACCAATCGAGAAGCAATTCTCAATGTACAAGAGAAAGCTCGGTAGAAACAGCTGAAGACAAGACAGGAAACCATGCTTATTAACAAATGTAGATTCCAGAACACCTAACAAAGACACTGTAATGTTTCAAAAAAAATAAAGAGATGATTATTCATTTGAGACAGAATATAGTCCTGACTGGAGTGGAACTCACCGAGATACACCTGTCTCCACCTCCTGAGTACTGGTATTAAAGGTGTGCACTGACACACCTGACACAATCTGGAATATGATTCCTAGGTTATCAATGTAGTGTAAGGAAAGAATAAAGACATTCTCACTCTCAGATGTACTGAATCTTACATATTTACCTCCATTCACCCTCCTAAGGAGCCTGTGAAAATATTATACTGAAATAAGAAAGTAAACTAGAATGAGAAGGAAATACAGGGCCCAAGAAACAGGGGCGGCCAAAGGTCATCCCAGTGAGCTGCAAGAACAAGCTACCCAGAATGGAGCTGTGGAACCCTAAGAAATCTCTAAGAAAAGCAGAAGAAAACAAGCTGAGCTGCTCAAGTGTGCAACAATTTGCCATGTGGGACGTAGTATGATGATGCTGGAAAATAAACTTGCTCACAAGTTATTAAAGAAAAACAATCAGCGTTTTACAGGAGGAGGCAAATTACTAATCCCAGGGAAAATGAGAAGCCATATGAAAAGAGACATAAAATGTTTCTTGCCTATAAAAAGTAGTTAACATGGATTTTCTAAAATCTGTGACAGAGCTCTCCTGGGAATATGAGGGTATAAAGGAAAATTAATTCACTACGGGAAGAGGTCTACAGACAAGGACTAAACACATCAAGGGGCAGTAGTACATTCAGGTGAGCTGAAACTGTACATAACAACTCGGGAGGCAGGCAGATCCCTGTGAGCGCTCTGTTGAGTTCAAGGCCAGCCTGGTCTACATAGAGTTCTAGGCCACCAGGGCTACATAATGAGAGCCTGTCTCAAACAACAATGAAAGTATAATATCAGGAAAAAAAAACTAAAAATTTTAGTTGTGGTTGCTGCTGGTAATATGGGAGAACAAATGATTGTCTTGTGGCCTTGCCTGACTGGTTTAAACCAACACACACACATGCACACTATGTATTACTCGAATCCCAGTGAGATTTTCGTTTTGTTTCATTTCTCAGTTTTAAACTAATGATGCTTCTGTCTTCACCTCCCAAGTTTTAGGATTACAGGTGCACACCAGGACATTCAGCTAAGGTTTGTTTGTGTGTTTTGGGGCTTACTGAGACAGGTGGCCTTAAACTCTGTTAAGTAGGCAAGGTTGGCCATGAACCCCTAATCCTCCTGCCTCAACCTCCCAAGTGCTGAGATTACAGACATGAGATGGGATTATAGTCCATGCTGGATGGATATCATGCTACATGATTCAGCACAGTTTCACCTGTAACCTAGAACTGAATACCATTTCTTTAAAATAAAATTACATTGACTAAACCAGCAAGTATTAATTTTGTTGCTCTCAAAAAGCAAGCCGACACAGGATTTCAAATTTGAATATTTTATATGGGATTTTTTTTTTTTTTGGTCTTTTTGAGACAGGGTCTCCTTATAGCCCCAGCTGTCCTGGAACTCACTATGTAAACCAGGCTGGCCTCCGCCTCTCTCTGCCTCTCAAGTGCTGGGATTAAAGATATGTGTCACCACACCCAGCCACTTTTATCTTTTTAAGCTCCCAGAACATCCATGCATATAAAATTAACAAAAACGAGAACGAGGTAAATCTGCACTCTATTTTGTTTCCATCCTGTTAGATTATGGCTGTGACTCTATCTAAACCCAGAAACAAGCAATTATTATTTTTTTTGCTCCCAAAAAAAAAGGCGACACAGGATTTCAAATTTTAATATTTTTTTTGGGATTTTTTTTTTTTTTGGTCTTTTTGAGACAGGGTCTCCTTATAGCCCCAGCTGGCCTGGAGCTATGTAGACCAGGCTTGCCTTGAACTCAGAGATCCACCTGCCTCTGCCTCCCAAGGGGTGGGACTAAAGGCATGCACCACCACGCCTGGCTATCATGGGATATTTAAAAAGGTACTCCAAACTTATGTTTTACCTACCTGCTCAAACTGCTTCATAGAAAACATGACTTCAGAAAAATCAAAAATTAAACGTCTCTCAAAATGGCTCTCAAAAACCTGTAAAACATATTAGAAGTATAAAGTAGTTTCCCAACTTCCCCCAAATGCAGCCACAGTATGTATATGGCAGGCACATGCCAACCAGTATTCTGACCAAAGGCATAGCCTGCTCTGAAGGAACCTGGGCGCAGACTACAGTCTCCATGATTACAAAACATCCTAGGGACTGCTGGCTGTTACCCGGCCATGAGAATTATACAAGGGAAAGCAGCGTGTTCTTATACGAACATATCCTTTTATTTTCAGTCCCTTTCCATCTATTTTTCCAAACCCACTAAAGTGAAATATCAGCTCACACTCCTGCTTAGAATTCTTCCAGGGCCTTCCCTACTTGCCTGATAGAAGCCCAACTTTCTAAAGCCAAGAGAGGTCGGCTGCTCTCATATCATACTTTCTCGAGTGCCCACCTGCCCGAACTACACATATTCATGAACACGTATCTTTGCTGCTCCCTCGTCCAGTGTTTTTAAGCCCTTCCCCACTGGCAGATTTCTGAGGAACCTTCAAAGACAACATCAAATATATGCCCTCTGAAAAACTTTCTCTGTTCCCGGATCCCTGGTAGAATTAATGGCTAAAATTCAATATATGTCTCTAAGCAATTATCACCATAATTACTCCCAGGCCCACTTGCCCCTCAAAAATTAAAAAAGAAAACAAAACTGTTGGCATCTTAAAGTTTACCCAACACACAGTAAGCTATACACATTTCGTATTCACTAATGTTTGCTGCAAAATTTGGCTTTTACCATGATTTATTTTGCTTATTTCCAATAAAGCGTGCAGCTCCCATCTCCCTAACCAGATAAAATCCTTGGGGGCAGAGCCTCGGTTATTTCGTTCTCCCAGAAGGCATAATGTATATATATTATTAAGTACACAAGTATTGTTCGTTGAAGTAATTACTTTTTCTATAGTTTCTTTGATGAGGGTCTCTGGCAAGGAAACATTTTCAGCTAGGATCAAAGAAGAAATGACATCCAAGAGGGTCCCCCGACAAGATGTGGAGAGATGGGCTGTTTGTAAAGCTTCAGACAAAACCTATAACAATAAAAAAAAAAAAAAGAAAGAAAGAAAGAAAAATCAAGGCATACTTTGTAATCTATTCACCCCACGCCTGACCCCTCAGTGCCAGGGAGCTATACTCCAGGCCCCAGCTTTGTTTTGTTTTTATTTTTGTTTTTTTTAATTGTTATTTTTTCAGCCCCAGCTTTTAACACGCTCTTAACCACATCACATTTGGGAACTCACCTTACAAACATCAGCAGCCTTGGTTACCTTTGCTCCATTTCCATGTTTCACAAGTATCAGATATGTTTCTAGCAACTGCCTAATCTGTTCAGAACTCTCATAGCAGTTTGATTCTGTCACTTTGTTATGCAGATCCAGGAGTGATTCCTTCAAATCAAAATTTTAACAAAGAAAATAACTACAAAATATCAAACTCATCTGTTCATCCAATAATGGAAATAGTCTGTACAGCTCAATTTCTCACATTCCTTTTCTTTGGAAGAAAAAGACACATATCCCAGAAATCACAAGACACAAGAGCTAATATTTACTGAGTGCTCTGTTCTGAGTTCTCTGTTCAGTATCTTCACAGTAACCTTGAAATAGGTAACATCATGACCCCATTTTATCATGTGAAAATACTGAGTAACAGAGACTCTAAATAAGTACTCCAAGATACTAACAGTAAGTGGTAGGCTCGAGATACAAATACGAGGTTTGGTTCCAGAGCCTCTCCTAGCCATTATGCTCCACTGCATCGCAAGACATCACATCAATTAAAGAGTACAGGGTGTGAAAGAAGGACGATAAAGAAATGATGAAGAAACACAATCTCAACAGTGATTCGCTAAGCTCAGAGCAATAAGAGTATGTAGACTCCCTGTTACATATCAGTCCTTAAAAATTAGAACTTACTTGCAAACACTCAAAAAATATACCAAAATGTTCTTTGTAGATGTAGACTACGGTGGATTTGGCCATGTTTTTAAGTGTTTCTCCAACTAAAATCCATGGTAGTTGAGTTTCTGTTTCAGTAACTGGTCCTAGCTTTTGCAAAATTAGCTTCATTGCCTATGTGAATGCAAGAGAAGAAGAAATCAGTATTTAAACCTCGATTTAAAAAGAAAAACTATTAAGCTGTGATTTACCAGTCTGATTTTATTAGCAAACTTAAATTTTTTGTGTGGAATAATGAAAGATATAGCAGCACTGATTGCTAACCGCATAGCCCAAGTTGGCCTTAAATCCATAATCTTTTGCCTCAACCTCTTGAGTACTGGGAATAGGGGTAAGTACCCCATTGCTTGGCCTTAGGACAGGGAATTATATCATACCTCTCCCAATCTACTCTTGACCATCAGTCGACTGACATTACAGCTTCAAAGTATCCAGGATCAAGAAGACCAAGGTTATTTCTTAAGTAAAAGTAACCAAAGTCTGCATTAAGAAGCATGCTATTAGTCCTATGACCACCGCCCCC